GAAAACCATAAATGCATACCTGGTGTATAAAATTTCAAACTTACTGTAAAAATGGGTGTATGAATTTTTCATCTTGAGAAGTAAATTCCGTCAACTGCATTAAAACGTCCACTTTGGACTCATCAGGAACAAGAAAACTCACAAATCCACACAGCTTTCTTGCAATCTTTTTCCTCTCCTTCTTTTGTAAATTCCTGTAGGAAACAAAATTTCCTTCAGTAGGAACTTGTAAATATTTTTTCTAGCTTAAATTTTCTCAGGCTAATGTGAAATAGATCTTTAAATTATTTCAATACTTTAAATTTCGACCATTTACATGTATATACACTTGCAAACATGACATCCCCCCCCCCCCCCCCCCCAATCTCCAACAAAACAAAAAATGAAAAAAAAAATTACATGTGCTTTTCCTTTGAAAGATTTGTTAATTTTAAACAAATGCCCTAATCTTGAATTGAAGAATTCCAAACCTTGATAGTAAAACAATTACTTTTCTTTTGAAAAATTTGTTAATTTTAAACAAATGCCCTAATCTTGAATTGAAGAATTCCAAACCTTGATAGTACTGTTCTCATGTCCATATACATAGAACAAAAACACGCCATAATATCTCCATATGTTGGTAGGGATTTCTCCTTCTTTTCCTACAATTCAGACATTTTAATATTCTCAAGAAAATATGGAAAGAATCAAATTTCCATTTTTATCAAAAGTTACATCAAATTTTTCAACTATTCCCTACTGCCTGACACAAATTTGTCTTGTTGCATACCGAAATGTCCCTGTATTTCATGCCAAACCATCTTAAACATTCCTCCATGAAATCAGCCAACTGTTGAATTCTGAAATTTCATGATTGAAAAGTTAGAACTTGTACTTATGATAATCAGCAAGAGAGTCAAAAACTACAGATCGAACATGGAGCTGTAGACTTAGAAATTAAAGATTAAAATTGATTTATTTGTTGCCCCAAAATTTTAATAATATTTTTTGGTTAAATTGCTGATAAGCTAGCTATATAGACTATTGAATAAATTCTAATATTTATTTATTGGGTAGTATTTTGTAAACATTTACCTTGGAACATTTTTTGTTTGCAAGGCTCTTTCCACATCTGCTTGGCAATCTCTGAAAAATGAGTAACATAAAAATTAAGGAGAGAGAACTCAAAATTCTGTGAAATCACTAATTTTCATGGGGGTTTAATTTTCGTTGTTTTCATGGTATGAAGAGCCCTACGAATTCATGTCCACCATGATGATGAAATGTAAAATGTCATATACATAACTATTTAACAGTTCTTCATCCACAAAATCAAATCCCCATGAACCAATACATGTATTTTTTCCTCAAACCATGAAAATATGCATGACCCCACAAAAATATGTTATTTTACAGTACCACTTCAAATAAACTCCCTCATCATTTGGACTTCAATTCATTAATGAAAATTTTGTGTTTTGTTGTTTCTCTTGTATTTTCCCCTGCTGTTACTTGAAAAAATAAGTAGATACACTTAAACAGACTTACCTCATGTAAACATTCATAATGTTTTTCAGGCTTTGAAGCATAATGGAAGTGCAGCCTAGCTTCATTAGTACTTTTTTGTCATCTTGATGGGTCTAAAAAATTGCATGAAGAAACTTTTTATAACAAGCATCACTGCTTAAAGAAAGCTGAATCAGCAAAATGAAAAAAAAATGGTTTAGTAAAGCAGTAATTATTTCTGAAGTAACAAAAAAATCCCAGTAAAAACTTAGGCTCTACTACTTTGTTCTTATAAATTTGGAATAAAAAAGTTGCACAAGGACTTGAAACAATCATTTTTTTTTAGTTTTAATTACACTTAGAGAATGAGGTGTACTTAAACCTGCAATAATGATACATCATCTTTAATATCCAGCCCTTTTCTTAACTTCTGACTGATGACGCAACTTCCTGTTGATAAAAGATCAAAACAATGGTGAGAGATACACATACATATGTCAACAAAGTTTTCTAGGAGGAAAAACACCACAGTTTGTAAAAGCAAGCTTCGGCATTTAAAGGATGCAGTTTTAACATTGTGGACAGACATAAAAGCTTAATTTTAAGTCATGAGGGTAAGTAATTCTTGTCAAATGAAAAATTGCTGTGGGGCCACAATATATTTTAGGGACAAAAGTAGTTATTCTCCATAATTACATTACTCACTTATTTTATTTTCTTCATCACTTGACATTCCCTTTGGTGGCTTCCACGTTTCATCTGTTTTCAGGATGTGGTAAATTTTGCTGGTTTTACCATCAACATCTTTCCTTTGTGCTTTTGACACTCTTCTGTAATTTTAAATTTTAAAATTTAGCATTATATTATCATAGCAATAGACTATCTCATGAAAATCACTTCTTTAGCAATTCTAATTTAACACCCCACCCCCTTCTATTAATCATGTCTATTCTAAAATTTAATCAGATTTTCAAATTCTAATTTTAATACTATGAGCACCTGGGAGATACATGTATCTCCTGGAGAGCTTGAAAATCCAATTCAGTTTCTGCACAGAAAAAGGGAGAAAGTGCATTCAACTAACTCAGGACTTAAACCCAGGCCCCCATACTCTACCGACTGTGCTATCTGGCCTGACAGTGGAAGAACCTGTCTGATTAGCCTCTCCCCCCAACCTCCCTCACCTCTAAAAATATCAACCCAAAAGTGTCTACCTTGATAGGTTTTTTTTTTTTATATACTTCAGTTCAAGAGGAAAAGCACTAGCACCTATGTCTCTGCTGACTAAATTATTTAGCCAAATTGAATGAATCTTCCAGACCACCACATACTTAACAAAAGCTGCAGTATCATAAAACTGTTATGTTTAAAACTTTACCTCTGTAGCTCACTCAGATAACTCTCAAACTGGGATTCAATTTCTTCTCTGACTTTACCATTTGGTAGGTTGTTTATTGCTGATCGAAATGCTGAACCTAAATCTTTCCTTGACACATTTTTGATATCTGTGTAAAAGAAAAAAGTGAAGATTTATATGTGAATATCAGTAAGGTCAGTTTGCTACTTTTTAGATCCATTCCATGGATAGGACGACTTTGACAAATCCTATATATAGTGGACCCTCAGATATCCAGACACTTCAGCTTCTGGACAATTTTTCCCGGGAACAGAATTTTTTAATGTTATTTTGTCTCGTTTATCTGGAATTTTGCGTTCCGTATCCAGATGGTCTTTTTTTTTTTACCACAAAATGCATTTTTACGTTATATTTAATGTATTTATCCTGACAGTAATTTTTTAATTGTTCTGTCAAACTAAGCTCAAATTTCTTGAGCTGGGTATTAATTGCTTAGAAACACTTGCCTGACTGTTTGTTTTAAAAGATGATCACCTGTGACCTGTTATCAATAACTTGCTGCAAGGTTAATTATATTAGGTCGATAGGTGTGCACAAGACTCTCCATTCTCTGACATGAATTTTATAAGTATTAAGGAAAATAATTTTATATGTCAATAATTTTTTTGTACTCGGCAAATGTATTTTTTAGTTAGAATACAGTTGTAACATTGATTTTATGTATTGCTACTTATAGACATGACATCAAAGTTTTTTTTATGCACAGTATGGATGAGCATTCGTATTGAAATTAAGACTCTACCAACAGTTTGTTTCTCTACCAGCTCTAAAGAGAGTTGGCTAGGGGAAGTTCATTCATTAAAACCTGGGAAGCAGAAATAATTAATATGGCAATATAAACAACGTTTCATCCAATGACAATGAGATTATTTATTTTATTTAAAAAAGTATTACTGAGTGGTACTGACGTATATTAATTAAAGTATTTAAACTATAAAACATTGATAAAAAGCGGTATAACTAAAATCAAGGCAATTCAGGTATCCAGACGCTTCACCTATCCCAACAATTTTGATTGGGGATAAATGAGACTCCATTCAAAAGTAAAAAGTCTTCTTAGAGAATCTGTTATTTCAAACTATGCTTACTTTACAAAAATGAGGTGCACCACATCTTCTTTTCTGTTTAAGATTTGTTGTTCAATAACTGATTCTGATTTATGACCTAAGTAATTAGAATTCTTATCTCAGTATGTAGCTTGTAAATCAATTTTTTGTGATTTCAGCATATTCAGAATGTCTGATTTAGGGTGAACACTGTCTAATCTATCTTCAGAATGATGTACGTATACCTGGTTCTCCTTTATTGTTCATTATTCACAAATTAAAAAAAAAATATTGCTCATTACCTTGGGACTACTTAAGTTTCTCTAATTTCATAAACACATTCATAAAGTAAGCCTTTATAGCTCTTATTACGGTTTAAAACATAAGAAATTGTCAAATCCATGCTGAAATTATCTTCAACATTTTTTTCTAAACAGGCCAGGAATCCGTTTGTCAATCAATCAAATTCATGTGTAATAGGTGAAGATCTCACTTTAGTCCTTGATAAAAGTATTCTGATTAGCCTCTTGAAGGCTTATCTTAAGATATGCAAACATTTCACTAAAAGCTGATTGGACCTGGGAGAAAATATTTTATATTCGTATGGAATCAAAGCTACAAAATACAAAAAAAATCTGTTCATTAGAACATTTGGGCATACCCTTGACATTTTTTGCGACAAATTTGATAACTTTCTTGATTTTCTTCTGACTATCCATGGGTTGTGAATATACACGTGTTTCAAGCAAACTGGAAGTCTCATAATAACAAACTTTTCCAGTAGGCGCCTTTTTATTGGTTGAAATTGAAGGGGTTTTCCAAAAAATTAACCAATTAAAAATCGTGTAACATAGATTGGGATTTCGATCTAAGTCATTTATTTTATTCTTTAAACCATCATTGCAATGACGAGAATGAGCATTTGAACATTTAACTAATTTGATTCTTCATTTTTTGTACTTTTACGATTCAAAATATTTCAATATAATTTGTTCGAAAATACGGACAATGCCTAAAAGCCTAGCTTAGCATTTCGCTAGAAAAGCATTCTGGGATAGCTAAGATTTCTGAAAAGATGTAACTGAAACATCTTCACTAAATTGTCTCTACAGGCGAAAGAAATAATTGATAAGGCGCGATTTTAAGTTTGAATGACTTAGCTATGTTTTATTTACATAAGACAATTGTTAAGTTGTTGCAAACTTATATCAGGCACTCAAAAACTGGATTATACTTTTACCCTTTATGCTGTGAGCTATTTGCCATTATTTACTGTTTACATTTTTGTTGGGTGCATTTTTTCAGGATCCGAACTCTATCTGCCGTTCCTTTCATTATCATGATCTTTTTCTTTATTTTTCAGGCTTGTAACTTAAAAGGTGGACAATGGAAGCCGATAAGAAGAGGCGTAATTATAAGTTGTTGGTTGATCCTATGCTAAGAGGAGGATCCACTAAGATCTACAGATTTGAGGGCGTTGATCCAACGGTGAGATGGCGTGAAGGACCATTCAATTCTTTTGGGACAAACTTCTACAGAAAATGATGACACTTAATGCTTTAGGTGTTACATGCTAAATGCTTGGTCTTCCAGTGTTTCATGCCAGAATTAGTTCCCTTTAATGGGATGATGGGTTATTACAATACAGGGTACTTTTCTTATGAATGTCCAAACTTGTGTATGATAACACTGAAGATTTCACTTGATAGAGAGGGTTAGACAATTGCTTAAGAGCAGATTTTTTTTTTAATTTATTTTTTTGTTGAAATTTATTATTATTATTTTTTTGCTGAGTTACTGCCCTGTATGATGAATGAAATTAGTAGTGATGCAGTTCACAATGGTATCAATTCACAGCGGTACTTTATGCTTGATACACTGTACAAAATCTCCATTTTCAGTTCGTTTCATTTTTCAGTTGAGATAGTTATTCAGTTGGGTTAGGCAATCATAAAATATGCAACACAGCATGATTAGATTTTAAAAACGTGATTTTTGAGGAATGATCTTTAATTTAAAGGTCACCTCATTCAAATAAATTTCTTTTATTCAATTTGCAGGTAGATTAAGTTACTAGTCTTGGTAAAACAAAACATAAAACAGCTTTGGATATGTTCCCCTCTATCAAAATATATCAAATGAAAAATAACTGTACCGTGACAAAACAATATGATATGTACATGTATCATATCGTGAAGGAGGCATATCATTTCACTTGTGCATGAAATGCTCCACACTTTTAACACTTACATGGTAAAAAAAAAACCATGTTTTGTGCTTCCACATCTAATTAGATATTGAAAAGAATGTTGTACTCTCTCTTGTTTTAAAGATTTATTCATACGAATTTCATCTAATTTGAGACACCCATTTATATTTTTATACTTAAAAGCTTAATGTTACCTGTGTCCAATTACTCTCGCTGTGTTCTTGATGATAATGAAAAAATTACCAACCTTGGGTCCTCCAGAGTTTAAAGTATGAAATTTTAACTAGCAAAATAATTGCAGATATGTTTTGGAGATTCTGATGAAATGAATAATAATGGTACCTATAGTGATGTACCAATTAATCGATTAAATCGATTATCTAATCGAAATTGTCCCCGATTATAGATAAACAATTATAATTTTGATAATCAATTATTCAGAATATTAGTGAAAGGAAATTATTCCTTTGATTTTTGATTCACTCTTCTTTGAATTTAACTAAATCCTACATAGTAACTTAATACATGAATCCAATGATACAAACTATATGAAAAATGTATTTATAAATCACTCCAGAATTTTTAACCAATTTATTCTTCATTCAAAAAATGAACAAATTTAATATAATTGAAATCAATCGATTATTAATTGATTAAAGTGCATCCAATTATTCCGATAATCGATTATGAAAAAAAATTCAATTTCCCATCACTAATGGTACCCTGAAATTGTTAGGAAAGGAAAAAATTCATATCATTTTATTTTGGGATTTGATAATGCCTTTTTTGTGTGTGTTTTTATTTTGAGCAGGTGGTTGAAGTGATTGTATGTTTAACCAGTAAACAAAAATTGCTAAATAATTTATGCTATGTTTGAAAAAAAAAAGAAGGATAATTAGTAAATGTATATACATGTAGATAGTATAGAAAGTAAATTCATAGTGCAGCTATGTTTTACAGGATAATAGACTAGTACACGTTCGAGACCCAAGATCCCGACTACAAAGGTTATGGAGTCAAAGAATGCCAGCAGATTTGCCTGTGCCAAGATTTAAGGTATATGATGAGTTGATCTTTTTTTTTTTACACATTTTCCTCTTACAACATGTACAAAAAATAGAGCTGTGCAGTTTTATTATGCCTCTATATGCCCCTACTTCACTGATCAAGGATACATGTATGTTACTTCAGAAGAGGGATTTTTTTTTTTAACATGTCAGTTAATTTATTTTAACATTGTTGAGTATCAACCTATCAACACTGTCTGTAAAAAATTCCAAATTAGGCATTCAAATCAGGGTTTAAGAGTACCTCTGGGATAGTCATATTGCTTTACTTTCTCCATAATTCAGTACATTGCATTGTTTTGCTACTTTTAGAAAAACATGAACTCATTGTAAGTGTGTTGGCCATAAATATTTTCTTGTACATATATGTAATTGACTTGAATTGAGACTAACAGGTTAAAGTTAGTCATTGCCAGTTGTGCTATTTGTAAAATTGTATCTTGTTTATCGCAATTCAATATGCAGTGCTAGATGTTAAATTTAATTTTGAACTGAGATCAGAGGCCTGTTCAACAGAGCGAACGTTTGCGAGCGCTCGCCAAAATTCCTGATCCTTCCAACAGAAATGTTCGCGAGCACTCGCTGTGTTGAACAGGCCTCAGAATCTTGATTCTTGCATATAAATAATTTTCTTTTTTTTTTCAGTATGACAACTACTATGTTGGTGAACCCCCACCAAATGAAGTGACATTTACCAACTTAAATGACAACATCAGCAAGGATTTCTTAGAAAACATGGTCAAACAGTTTGGGTTGCTGGAGGAAGTTAAGATTTACTATAATCCAAAAAACAAGAAACACATGGGCATAGGAAAGGTAAAATTCATTGGCAGTTGGTTAAAAAAAAACAGTGACTTTGTCAACTTACATTTTGTTGTTAAAAACTGAAAAATTTGCAAGAATATTCTTTACTTTAGAGGGGAAAATCTTGCATGGATTCTAGTATATGTTTGAAAATAATTTGGATTATTTGTTTGGTGATAATGATTGTGTTTGATCATTTTAGGTCATATTTATGTCAGCAAAGTCAGCTAAGATATGTGCAGACAAACTGAACCAGACCTCCAAAATGGGAAACATAATGAGTGTTTATGTTGATTCTGGTGGTATGTAACTTTGTCTTGTTTTCCCATGTGATTTGCATGCACTTTTTTTTAATGATAACTATATATTCATATGTCCCTTTATGGAAGCTGTATGTAAATTTCATCAGCAAGTTAAATATTTTGGTATTTTTTGGTGCAATTGCTAGCACACTAATTCTTCATCACCCTTAAATTTAGATAACTACAATGGATAAAAAAACAAATTTATGACCATGTCCTAGAATTTCTGATCAGTATTAAGCTAAACTTAAACCTTACTGTAGAGTTAGTTAATCAGATATTCAAGTGCGTTATAAAAGGACCATCACTTTCGTGTAATGACTGGAATTTTCAGTTAAATACATGCACTTGTACTTTTAATCATTAAAGGTTGAAAAAAGATGTCCTGATAGAGAATGTATATAATGAAATGCTGATACTTACAGTAGATTTGACTTTGTACAGGAAAGGAGAGACAGAGAATCATTGAGGATATGCTGTCTGATCAGCCTAAGGCGACACTGCCTCCTGTGCCTGCACCAGTGGCTCAGAACACAGACCCAAGAAATCGACGTTTGTCATCATCAATGTCTGGAAATTCTAGCTTTGAGACAAGATTCGAGCAGGAGGCATATGATCCAGAAGTAGAATTCCAAAACCAACGAAAACCAGAAAATCTTAACTTTCATGGAGGAGAGAATATGAGCCATCACAGTGCAGATACTGGCTATGTGTCAGGGACCCCCATGTCTGTATTTTCTCAGGGTAGCTTCACGCACAACCAGGAAACAACCAAAGGTTCATTTGACATTACAAATACAGGATTGACTCCAGGTTTGACCCCAGCTATGACCCCAAACATGGCAGGAGGCAACTTTCAGTTCCCCCCTCCACCAAACCAGTTCAATCAAGGAAATAACAGGTTCAACAATCAACCCAATGACCTTGGAGGAGGGTTTGGAAACCAGGGGAATAACAACAGCTATGACAATTATGGAAATCGAGGTGGGAGAGGTTTCCGTGGGCAGGACAATTTCAATCAGCAAAAAGATTTATATAATGACCCCAACAAAATAGACTTTTCTAAACCTCCCCCGAATTTTAATTCAAACAACATGCCTCCTCATGTACAACAGAACGATAGAAATTTCCACAGGCAGGATTCAGGAAGGTATCATGATCGACACAACTACAGAAATCGAGACAGAAGAGATAGTCGGGACGGACATGGGTACGACAGAATGGACAGAGGTGGGCGAGGAGGGCGTGATTGGAGAAAAGATAGGAATGACCGTGGGCATGATCATCGAGATTTCAGAGATAACCGATATGAAGGCCGAAATCGGGATTATGATAATTCATACAACCGAAGAGATCGGCATGGAAATAGGAGAGATGATAGGGACAGGGATTTCAACCATGATAAAATGGAGAGGAATTATGATAATCGTAATAACAGAATGCATGATAATAGAATGTATGACAATAGGAATAGTTTTGATTATGATAACAGGGATCCTAGGGGATTTGATAGGGATCTTGGTATTAAGCCAAGAGGGGATAACTTTAGGAGGGACAGTATTGAGAAGGAGCAGCCCCCACCTCCAAGGCCCCAAACTCCACCTATGCCTCCAGAGCCCACAACAACAACGGAGGAGGAACCAAGGCCACAGAGTTTGGAATCCCGTATTCAGAGTCTGTTGCAGAATGTGGGAGGGATCTCAGATAGCTTTGGTGGAAGTCCATCAGATGAATCAACTAATGATTCAAGAAAGAAAGAACAGACTCCTCCTTCAGGGAGGTACAATAATAAACATGCTGATATATCAGAAAGGATACCTAAAACACCGCAGGAAAACTGTGTTGATGCTCAAAAACCTAGAACCCCTTTTGACTATGGGCAAGACTATACGCCAGTTTCTCATGAAGGGGAGAGAATAGATAGAAAATTAACTCATAATTTGGATTTCCGGGAAGGCAGTTCTCAGCTCAATGGTAGTGCTTTAACAAACTTTACTCCTGATAGCATTCCAGTGGCTCCACCTGGGAACAATGAGGACGTAACCCAGGATGATGATGAAATGAGCATTTCTTCAGGAAACAGTGATGACCAAAACATTGAAGTCAATCCCATAATTCCAGAAGGAGCAGTCCCCGATGCGGCCAACAGTGCTAACTTTGTGGCCAATCCTTGGCAAATGCAGAACATGGGCATGAACTATGGGGCCACTTTTACAAACTATAACTTCATGGGTGCCAATAATATGCAGGTTTACAACCAGAATTTTTACAATCAGTATAACAATGATATGATGAATCAGTCTCCCATGATAGGGCAGACTAAAGCCGAGAGTGAAGCCATGGAGAAGCAGTTTATCGATGTATTGGAAGGATTTGTGAAGGAACTAAAATCTGTCATGCAAAAGGATATGTGTAAGAAAATGGTGGAAAACTCAGCCTTCAAGTCATTTGATGGTTGGTGGTCAGATGAATCCAATAAATATAAAGAAGTGGTATGCATTAAATAATCCATTTTCTTCTTCATGCATTCAATTCATGATAACGCTTCATTTTCATGGCTGCTGTTGTTTTTTTCTTTTTTTTTTTTTTTTTTTTTTTTTTTTTTTTGTAATTTAATGTAGGAAATTATTACTTAAGACAGGTTTTACATGTTCAGATCTGATAAAATGCATTTATGGTTTAAGGCAAAAATTTTTTAATACTATATCCTTCTTTAAAATATTTTAGATACAAGATTCTTCTTTGAAATATTTTAGATTCAGGAACTTCTCTATTAGGAAAAAAATATTATGACCTCTATAAGCTAATCATAAATTGTGTTTTCTTCATATTTCAGCAATCAGCCCGTCTCATTCCTGAAAAGTCATATGACAAACCATCATCTCCATCCAAACCGTCCACAGTTACCGTTGGGAAGAGCGAGGTCACATCCACTCTGGCTTCCCTGTTTGAACCTCAGCATCCATGGTCTAGAGAAGGGGAGATCAATATGGGAGGATTCATGGGGGGTGGATTCCTTGGTATCAGGGGTGGAATGCCCAGGCTACCTTCTTTTAAGGTATGTATGAATTGCTTTCATTTTGATAAAAAAATTTTGAAGGAAATTAAAAAAAAATTCTTTTTGTGTTAAATATGTGGGAGAAAAAAAAATGGGTATGTTTATCTAATTGACAGAAAAAATATAAACCACCATCACCACCACCAGAGGATGAGGAGAGCAAACAGTCTGACAGCAGCAGAATAGAGAAGTCCTCAGGTAGCAATGTGTCAAAGTTTGATTACTTGACGTTTAATACTGTAGACATACTTTTTTCCCCCATGGGATTAATTTACGCTATGTACTCAGTCCCATATTTTCTGCAGAAATTTGTCACAGTGTACTTAAAATGCATTTAAGAATATAAAAGCAGTCCAGAAATCTTTAAAATTTCCTACCCACTGATTGAACAGAAATTGCGATTCCGAGGAATTATGATACCATGGAAAAAAGTACATTTACAGTATGTGTATACGTAGCTCTAAGCAGCAATTTATGGGATAAATTTTTCTTTCTACATAAAAAATATATTTAGTTGGTATTAAATGTAATTATTCTTTCTTTTTCAAAAATGAGTAGTAAAGTCAGAAAAACCATCCAGGATACGCAAACCTATATACAGCTCCAGTGAGGATGAGGAAGAATCTGAGGGTAAGAAATTTTTTTTCTGATTTTGGGATCAAAAGTTAATTCCAGTATAATGATTTACAGATACACAGTAGGTCCACTAAATATTGAGTATCTTTGACTGGGGGTTATGACAGTGGAAATTTTGGGACCTGAGCAAAGATACATGCAAACCTATTTTGGGTCATATGTATCCATGTGTATATGCTCAAGTGCATGTACCTAATGGATGTATTCTTTTTCATATTTTTGGTGATTGAATTAATGTGGTGTGAAAGTGAAGCATATGATTATGTTGAATCGTGAAATATTTGTTTATCATGATTGTAGATGAGGATGAGGACAAAGACAATGTGGAGAGCAGTGAGGAGGAGGAGGAGGAAGAGAAAGAAAATGTGGACAGCAGTGAAGAAGAGGAGTCAGAAGAGGAGGAGGAGGAATCGGAGGAAGAGGAGGAGGAGTCAGAAGAAGAGGAGGAGGAGGAAGAGGAGGAAAAGAAAGAGGTCCACGTGGATGTAGAGAAAAAGTAAAGACTGTTAATGTAGTAAACTGAATTCGACTTAAGAAATTAGTATTATCATACATGTATATGACACTCATACAATATATGTAAATACTGTGAAATTGTTCTCTCTGTAATAGGAGCAAATTCCATTTAATACTTCTTGTCTGTTTATAGAGAGGAAGTGGAAGAAAAGAAGAAAGAAAAAGCAGAAAAGAAAGAGGAAATAAAGAAAATATCAGTGGAGGAGGAGGACAGGTATGTTTTGCAGATTGAATAAAATGTCTTTGTTTCTATGAAATAGGTGCAGTGTACAAATTTCCAGTTTGCAGCAGGCTTGAGAACTGTAATTTTTCAAGGAATTTTAAGAAAAACATGCATGTTTATGTATTGATGGTTAATTCTAAAAAGTTGGTTTCAGAACCAGCTAGAATTTTCAATGAATTTCTTATGTTGTGGAGAGAATTTATATTGAATACACCCTATAAAATTGAAATAAGAAAAAAAAAATATTTGATACATATTCTGTAAAGTTCAGAAAGTAAAGAAAAAAACAAACTGTAAAATATTGCCAAAAATAATTGGTTTGAATTTGAAATAAATGTGAAAATGGCAAAACCAAAAGTTAAATTTCTGTATATTTTCTTAGTGATGAAAAGGTTGATGTGGAGGAAGAGGATGAAGAAGAGGAAAAGGAGAAAAAGGAAATCCCAGAATCACCCAAAAAACAGATCTCAAAAGAAGACAAACAGGTGAAGAAGGAGGAGGAAGTGATGCCTGTTATTTCAGAGGAGACTGAGGCTTTCGGATTTGAGACATTGCTGAAGGCCTCAGAAATTCTCAGTCAGCGAGAACAAGATCAGAAACTTGTTCCTTCAGTTCCACCCACGGTCGCTGAAGTTAAGGAAGAAGATGTTGACCAGGAGAAAGAGAAGCCAAGTTTCCTGGTGGAACATGATTATGTGCTGCCTCCTCCTACAGCAGATGGCAATGACACAGACGGTACCATGTCGGCAGATGAGGATGAAAATACAACACCGTACGAAGTGTTCATTGACCACAATTACTGTCTTCCTCCCCAGCCTCATCTTAGAGATCTTGTTGAGCAGCAGAAACCTCAAGTGCCAGACATCGTTCAGGAGCTTGCTAAATCCACTCCTGCAGCAGATAAGAAGAAGAAAGAGCCAGCTGTGAAGAAAGAGAGGAAGAGGAAGCAACCATTAAAAGAATCCACTTCCTTCAATGTCAATGACTTTTTGAATAGGTCTAGGGGCAGCAGAGAACTTATCAATCTTCTGCCTCCTCCAAAACCAATCAAAAAATTCCCTCCCCGGAAGATGGAAGAGGAGAGATTAGTGTTTTTTGATATGTATAGCAAAGGAATTGATGATGAAGACATCAAGTACATGAAGAAGACATATGAAAATCTACTTGAGTCAGAAGACCCTATGGGATATTGGGTAAATGATATTTTATGGGTGGATCATCCATGCACCAATATACCAGATCCTGTGCCATCCAAAAAGAGGAAAAAGAGTGAGATGGAATTCCCTAAACCTCACAAAACAGGTATTTTGTTTATTAGAGGGCATACATGTATATTAATTCTTTGTGGTCCGTTGCATGTACAGATACATACTATAAACATCATGTATATCATGATGACAATCAAAAAGTGCATGTTAGTTTGTAAGAATCTACAAAGTACTAATAATATCAAAATTTTTTAACAGGATGTGCAAGAACAGAAGGGTATTATAAGTTGACATCCAAAGACAAGACATGGCTCAGTAATCCACAAGAACCAGAAATGACAGAACCACCAGAAGCTGTCAGAGTAAGTGAACTATTTACCATAATTGTGCCTTAATTGAAAAAAGGAACAGAAAGGGATTAGGGTTAGGCCCTAGATTAAGCATAGTTGCATATGCATTTAACATTCATTATATCTTTAAAAATCTTCTTTACTCCAGGATTAAAAAAAAAACAAAAAACAGGGAAAGGCGTGATGATTAAATACAAGTATGAGCGTTTTGCCAAAAAATATTGAAAGTTGGAATCCTCTAGATTTCAGGTCCTAGATTGTGATAATTTTTTAACAAAAACTGTAAAATTCATCTCACACATATTCATGTTGATAATTGGGTGACTGTTGAGGCCTTTTTTTGTTTTTCCAAATTAAAAAAAAAAAATATTCAGCGTTTCTACATTGTGTGTATGTCTGCAGGAAAAGAAGACTCAAAAATCCAGGGAAGCTCGTCATGAAAACAGAAGACTCCAAGTTACCATTGCTGACTCGCAGTATTTAGATCTCTTCAAGTTTACTCAGTTTAGGGTACGTATTTATTGGTTTCTTTGTAGAAGTAATGATTTATTTGTATACATTGTAGCCATGTTGAATGTGAAAAAAAAAATGTTTACAGGTAGTTGCTTGTAATATGAAGGTAACATTTTGCATAAGAAGTAAACCAAGGAAATTGAATGATTATGAATTGGAATGTTACATATGTTTATATATCTTTATTTTTTTTTAACTCTGAATTTTATGGCTTTTATATGTACATGTATCTGATGGCTTATTTTTTTACTCAAACTTTATTTTTGGTTCATTTTCAATGTTGAGAACATGGATGAAAATAAAGATTTTTTTCTTTTCTTTTCTTTATTTTTTTTGTCACTTTCTCAACATTACATAGCAGACTCCTAGGGATCACTTTGTCAGTATGTCTTTCTGGGAGAAGTCACATTTTCACCAAAAAACCTAGTTCCCCTTTATTTCTATAGTTAATTATCATGAAACTTCATTAAGTTACATGTCAGGAACAGACAAATATCAAATATTAAGTAAAGTTTTTAGGATAAGTTCAAGTTCAAAATCTTTATTTTTGCCAACAAAAAGAGTCCTGTTATTTACTGTCTGGATTGATTGAAATACATGGAACTCCAGTGTATTGATGTCCTTATAACTTGGCATATCAGGTATATATATATAAGAAACTAGAGCAAATACCTAGAAATAGATCAAATGCTAGGGATTTTGATTTATTGTAAAAAAAAAAAAAAAAAAAAAAAAACTGCATGGGTATTCTACAGAATTTTTGAATCTGTCAGAGTTGCTTCATCATGATTGTCCATTTGCAAAAGGTTGTCTGACTTCAAGCAGAAGAAATTGCACACACAAATGTTTTATTCTTAGTAACAGAAAAAATATTTTTCTTACTAAGTAGTAACAGGAATACTGGTAACTACATATATATATATATATAGTGGCATTTAGGTTTTCTGATATTACATGCAGTATCCACAGGCAATACATGTACCTTGAAGAGTCTAGTTTGTTTAGAAACAATTTTTACATATATCATTATTTACCTCTGTAGTGTTTTATTTTCCTCACTTTTTAGCTCACCTGAGCCGAAGGCTCAAGTGAGCTTTTCTGATCACATTTTGTCTGTAGTCCGTCTGTCCGTCTGTAAACTTTTCACATTTTCGACTTCTTCTCAAGAACCACTGGGCCAATTTCAACCAAACTTGCCACAAAGTATCCTTGGGTAAAGGGGATTCAAGTTTGTTCAAATGAAGGGCCATGCCCTCTTCCAAGGGGAGATAATTAAGAATTCGTGAAAAATTAATGGCATCATTAAAAAATCTTCTTCTCAAGAACCACTGTGCTTGAAAACATGAAACTTATGTGGAAGCATCCTCAGGTAGGGTAGATTCAAGTTTGTTCAAATCATGACCCCCGGGGGTAGGGTGGGGCCACAATGGGCGATCAAAGTTTTACATAGGAAATATACAGGAAAAATCTTTAAAAATCTTCTTCTCAAGAACAGCAAAGCCATACTTGGTCATATTTATATGGTAGCATCCTCAGATAGTGTACATTCAAGTTTGTTCAAATCATGACCCCCGGGGGTCGGGTGGGGCCACAATGGGCGATCAAAGTTTTACATAGGAATATATAGGAAAAATCTTCAAAAATCTTCTTCTCAAGAACAGCAAAGCCATGATTGGTCATATTTACTTGGAAGCATCCTCAGGTAGTGTAGATTCAAGTTTGTTCAAATCATGACCCCCGGTGGTAGGGTGGGGCCACAATGGGCGATCAAAGTTTTACATAGGAATATATAGGAAAAATCTTTAAAAATCTTCTTCTCAAGAACAGCAAAGCCATAATTGGTCATATTTACATGGAAGCATCCTCAGGTAGTGTAGATTCAAATTTGTTCAAATCATGACCCCCGGGGGTCGGGTGGGGCCACAATGGGCGATCAAAGTTTTGCATAGGAATATATAGGAAAAATCTTTAAAAATCTTCTTCTCAAGAACAACAAAGCCATCATTGGTCATATTTATATGGTAGCATCCTCAGGTAGTGTAGATTCAAGTTTGTTCAACTCATGACCCCCTGGGGTCGGGTGGGACCACAATGGGCGATCAAAGTTTTCCATAGGAATATATAGGAAAAATCTTTAAAAATCTTCTTCTCAAGAACAGCAAAGCCATGATTGCTCATATTTACATGGAAGCATCCTCAGGTAGTGTACATTCAAATTTATTCAACTCATGACCCCCGGGGGTCGGGTGGGGCCACAATGGGCGATCAAAGTTTTACATAGGAACACATAGTAAAAATCTTCTTCTCAAGAACAGCAAAGCCATGATTGGCCATATTTATATGGTAGCATCCTCAGATAGTGTACATTCAAATTTTTTCAACTCATGACCCCCGGGGGTCGGGTGGGGCCACAATGGGCGATCAAAGTTTTACATAGGAACACATAGTAAAAATTCTAAAAAAAAACAATTTGTTAAGAATAGCAAAGCCATGATTGGTCATATTTATATGGTAGCATCCTCAGATAGTGTACATACAAATGTGTTCGAATCATGACCCCCGGGGGTCAGGTGGGGCCACAATGGGCCATCAAAGTTTTACATTGGAACACATAGTAAAAATCTTTAAAAAAAACTATTTGTTAAGAATAGCAAAGCCATGATTGGTCATATTTATATGGAAGCATTCTTAGATAGTGTACATTCAAGTTTGTTCAAACATGACCCCTGTGGGTCGGGTGGGGCCACAATGGGTGATCAAAGTTTTACATAGGAATACATAGGTTAAATCTTTAAAAATCTTCTACTCAAGAACAGCAAAGCCATGATTGGTCATATTTAAATGGAAGCATCCTCAGATAATGTAGATTCAAATTTGTTCAATTCCTGACCCCCCCCCCCCCCCCAACCACTTTTATATTTAAACTTTTCAACCTTTCAAGATTGAAGTGATTTCTGCTTTTTCCTAGCCATAGTGCTCAGGTGAGCGATATGGCCCCTGGGCCTCTTGTTGATTTTATTTTTGAAATAAAAAAAATTATTAGATATTCTTATCTTGAAGATAATGTAAATTTCAACTTATAATAATGTAATCTTTTTTATAGTTGAGAAAGAAACAGTTGAAGTTTGCTCGCAGCGGCATTCATGACTGGGGCTTGTTTGCATTGGAACCTATCGCAGCTGACGAAATGGTGATAGAATACGTAGGAGAAAGTCTTCGACAGTCTCTGGCTGATCTGAGGGAGAAGAAGTACGAAGCAGAGGGGTGTGGCAGCAGTTACCTGTTCAGGGTGGACACCGAGACCATTATCGATGCCACAAAGTGTGGTAACCTGGCCCGCTTCATCAATCATTGTTGTAATGTAAGTTATGAGAGTAATGGCAATGAAAAAGAAAAACAAGTATATTGCTTTGTATTATTTTAGGATTACTTTTAGCAAATAAGAAAAACTCTGATTTTCACTTTGTTGTGTATTCACAGTTTTTCATTTATACGTACTGCTACAAGTATTTTTTTTGTATTTCAGATTATTTCTATCACAGTGTTAATTCATTTGTTTTGTCCATATTACTTTTTTATTGGTCTAACAATTTTTTGTCCCCTGCCTTCACTGAAAGTGAGGGATATTAATTTGGGTCTGTCTGTCCGTCCGTCTGTCTCTATTTCTGTCTGTGTGTAACACTTTCGTTTATGGGCGATATCTCAAGAAGCTTTTGAGCTTTTGCAATGAAAGAATAAGTGCACTTTAGAGTGTCATTTGTAACCTTTTCGGGCACCCATTTTAAGCCTTGAATTAGACTATATTGCTAAATTAATCTATGATTATTGTGCATACATATGGTTTTGATATTTATACTTCGAATTTTTTGTTAAACATATCTCTATAATTCCACACAACGTCATTGAAAAGAACATGTATAAGCCTTAAATTCCGGAAATTTGAATTGGACCACTTTCGAATTTAAGGTACCCGCAAATGGGCGGAGATATTTAAATCACATGGAGGTGGAATGTAAACATTTGCACATTATTTCAAGATTTATTCCACATACAGTATGAATTTAAATGGAGGAGAGAGAGAGAGATTCATACAAATAATAAATGATTCATGGCCATACATATTGATCATTTTCATGATTCGTATCCATATGTTTGCTGCCTAGCACCGACTCAGCTCAATCTTAAGGTTTTCGTATATATATTATGTATAAAAAAAATGACCCCCCCTTTTTTTTTACTCTAGCTTTACCATTTTGCGTTTTATATGCTGAATGCCTTTCAATTCAAAGAATGAATGTATGTTGTAGGAAAGATTCACATTTACATGACTTCAATGTCACACTACATTTAATTGTAATTCACTGTACATGCAGTACGTAGTAATACAAACATGTAGTGAAACAATTAAAGTTAACTTGTAAGTAGTTCTCACGGTGATACATATTTTATTATATGCATGTATAGATAAACAACATTCGGAAATGAAATATAAAATTTGAACTAAAAAATTGAGTTGCTAGATTAACATGAAAATCCCAAGAAATACAAACTATCTGAAAAGATTATGCACTTCATGTAATGCTATTGATGATGAATTTCATTTCTTTTTACAATGTAATTGTAATATACAAGCAAGGAATATACTTATACAAACCATGCTATATAATTATTGTTCCTCATTCTATCTCAAATCACCCATACAGAAACTTGAATATATACTTAGTCCAACAATTGAAGTTTGCACTTTTATAAAACAATCATCAGAATTAAGAAATAAAAGGTCCACATCGGTGTAACATATATTGAGTAAATTACTTAAATTGCGCCTATTGTTTATAAACATTCGTTGTTCTTTTTTTTTTTTTTTTTTGTATTGTATTGCTTGTCCCATATGGGTGTATTATGCAATAAAGAAACTATAAATGTAATTTAAATTAACATTTTATTGATGGAAGAAGTATATTTGATATTAAAAACCATGGTCAAAGAAAATTCGACAACGTTCCTATGTCGATAATCACTCGCTCTTGTCTTCAATATCTGTTTCATTTCGGAAATCCAAATATTGTCAGGTATGATACTAGTGTTTAGGAATGTGTCTGTAGATACCTGCAGACCATAATACAGAGGCGACATGAGCTAGCACAGCTACCTACTAATCGTGCACCTGATTTGCACTGGCAATACCAGAATTTCCTTCAAAATTCAAAACGAAAAACACAATTGAAAGAAGACAATGTAAACTTTAAGACCCTAACAAAATTTTCGCAAAATTCTTCAATATTTTGAAGCCGGTACACACGGCGAGATTTGTAATATAATGCAAGTATTATAATATTTGTGTTATCATACTTTCCTGTACACACGCTTATACATGTCTTATCAGAATAATAGACTTTATGTATTACTACGTGTTTCCCTTGCAGTATTTCTCTCTCTCTCTCTCTTGATAATGAAAACAGCGGCGGAACACTCGTACATGTACTTTGTGCACATGATGCATCGCTAGATGAGGTGCAAAGAGAATACCCCAGAGGTTATAAAAACTTCTTTAGAATAGATAATGCAGCATTTGAGCAACTTTTACAATCACATATATATATATATATATAGTTACTCCTTTTGATCTCCTTCTCATAAAACATATGTTTACTGCTAAAGTCGACCATTATTTACCATATGCTTTTTTTGTTATGATAAAAATAGGATGACCCCAATGTGAGTGCTTTTGATTGGTTTAAAAATGAAAGGTAAGTTAAGACTTGTATAAGAAATAGAGCATTGCCCTATTATTAATACAGTTTTATAAGATTCGAAAAATCTTATGATTCACTGTATTAAAAGTCTATACATAGTAAAATTTTGTACTTAAATACATATCTGTGTGTACAGCCCTCGATTGACAGACACAATGAAAGCATATCAAACAGTGGAATGTCACGTGAGTGAAGTGATTATAATATCAAACGGGTCAAAATAGGTTGACACTCGGTGACCTGTTAATTTAGTAGCTAACTCGACTGAAGTTTGGAGAATTTTTCAAAAAATTACATATGAGCGGCAAATTGTCCAACATTGCCCTTTGGATATGTATAAGTTTAGATCAAAATACACATTCTGTGCAAATGAGACGAATGGACAAGTTGCGGCTCGATGTAAACAATGTCGTTGAAAACTGGTATGCATATGAATAACAATAGAAATGTGACAAAACTGCTAGACCCCTGTCGCAAAAACCAGTATCGCTCGGCATTATTTAATATTTCCATGTGATATAATATGTCAAATCCTGCTCTTAAGATATTGTTTAATAATTCTGATTCAAAAAGTTTATAAATTTCGGAAATTTATTTTAGGCAAAGCATCGGGACCCAACTCTCATAGCTTAAGTGCACTGATCCTTTTATACCATAACTCCCTATGGCCTCTCTCGCCCCAGGGGGGGTTAGGGGGAGTCCGACCCCCCTCCCCGAACTGCGCATGTTCTTTTTTTCCCTAAGCGGGGGACACAAATTCTCTGAATTAGCTTGTTAGGTCACCTGAGTCACTCAGGTGACCTATTGCTATCCGTTTTTGTCCGTCGGTGTTCGTCGTGCGTCAGTGCGTTAACATTTGAACATTTTTAGCTTCTTCTCTGAAACCGCTCAACCAATTTTGGCATATAACATCTATGGGTAAAGGGGAACAAAAAATGTGAATTTCATGGTCCCTGCCCCCCTGGGGCCTGAGGGGTGTGGCTAAAACCACCAAAATTAATGCAATCTTTAAAAATCTTCTTCTTTACTCCTGGACATCAAGCAGTCAAACTGTTGGCATGATTGTAATAAGGATTGAGGCCTCTACCAAAATTGTGAAATTCATGGCCCCAGGGTCAGGGGTTGTGGTGCTAGGGTGGGGCTATATACATCATATAGTGAAAATGCATTATTTCTTTGAAAATCTTCTTCTCTGCTCCTGGGTATGAAATAAACTAACTAAGTACATAGTTATGATGAGCAAGAGTGCTTCTACCAAATTTGTGAATTTCATGGCCCCAGGGTCAGGGGTTCTGGTGTTAGGGGGGCTCTATTGATTATATAGTGAAAATGCATTAAATCTTTGAAAATCTTCTTCTCTGTTCCTGGGCATGAAATAAACTAACTAAGTACATAGTTATGATGAGCAAGAGTGCCTCTACTGATATTGTGAATTTCAAGGCCCCTGGGTCAGGGTTTCTGGTGTTAGGGCGGGGCTCTATTGATTATATAGTGAAAATGCATTAAATCTTTGAAATCTTTTTCTCTGCTCCTGGGTATGAAATAAACTAATCAAGTACATAATTATGATGAGCATAGCTGCCTCTTCCAAAATTGTGAATTTCATGGCCCTTGGGTCAGGGGTTCTGGTGTTGGGGGGGCTCTATTGATTATATAGTGAAAATGCATTAAATCTTTGAAAATCTTCTTCTCTGCTTCTGGGTATGAAAATCTTCTTCTCTGCTCCTGGGTATGAAATAAACTTACTAAGTACATAGTTATGATGAGCAAGAGTGCCTCTACCAAGATTGTGAATTTCATGGCCCCAGGGTCGGGGGTTCTGGTGTTAGGGGGGCTCTATTGATTATATAGTGAAAATGCATTAAATCTTTGAAAATCTTCTCTGCTCCTGGGTATGAAATAAACTTACTAAGTACATAGTTATAATGAGCATAGCTGCCTCTTCCAAAATTGTGAATTTCATGGCCCCTGGGTCAGGGTTTCTGGTGTTAGGGCGGGGCTCTATTGATTATATAGTGAAAGTACATTTAATCTTTGAAAATCTTCATCTCTACTCCTGGGTATGAAATATACTAACTAAGTACATAGTTATGATGAGCATGGCTGCCTCTTCCAAAATTGTGAATTTCATGGCCCCTGGGTCAGGGGTTCTGGTGAAAGGGGAGGGGGCTCTATTGATTATATAGTGAAAATTCATAATTTCTTTCAAAATATTTTTTTCTACTCCTGGTTATAAAGCAAAGAAACAAGTGTATAGTTATGATGAGCAAAGATGCTTTTACAAAATTTTTAAAACTTGTGGTCCCAGGGGTTCTGTTGTTTCTCAGAAAGGGGGGGGGGGGGGCTCTATTTGATTATATAGTGAAAGTGTGTGAATTCTTTGAAAATCTTCAACTAATTGCATAGTTATGATGATGAGGGTACCTCTTCCAAATTTGTAAATTTTCATGACCCCAGGTCATGGGTTCTGGTGTTAGGGTAGGGCTGTGTTAAATAGTGAAAATACATTATTTCTTTGAAAATCTCCTCTGCTCCTGGGCATATTGGAAGCAAACAGAGTAATAGTTTTAATAAGCAAGGTATTTTTACCAGAATTTTAAACATCTTGACCATTTAGTCAAGTGTTCTGGTAATGGCCAGGGCTCTGTTAATTTGTATTCTACTGAGTGAAGTTATTCCCCTTTGCCATTCACCTTTGATAATTAATCACTGTAGATAATGTATTTGAAAGGTTAATAAAATAAGAGAATTATGCAATAACATTTATTGTATAATACAAAAAGTACTTTCATAGTTTTAATAATCAGGTAGACTTGGAAATAATAGATGAATAAAAATGAAACATAAATAACTTATCTTTTTAAATGTTCTTCAAAGGCCAAGTGAGGCCAATGTGAGAGTTAATAATATAGACATTTTGTTAAAAGTCTGCATGGTAATAGAGATAAATGGGGGACAGCTAGAAAGATACTAGAACAGTTATTTTGCTGATCTTCATCATACTGTTTTCCTTGCTATTGGGCAGCAAAGCTTCATTTATCAGTTTATGGATCCTCTAAATTGTTGTACTCAGGTGACCGTTAAGGCCCTTGGGCCTCTTGTTAAAAAAAGGATTTCTTTACAAATAATTACTTCATAAAAATAATTGGCAGCTACATTGCCAAGTAATGTTTGATGATGCATGCATTTGGACATGCATCAATATTTGACAGACAGGCATTGTAATATTATATACCATATGACAAATATTGATAAATGCAATGTATTAATTTTTTGTGATGTTCATTTCTTAAGGGTTTTTTCCTCTCTTGTAGCCAAATTGTTATGCAAAGATCATCACAGTGGAATCGCAAAAGAAAATTGTGATATACTCAAAGAGAGACATTGACGTCAACGAAGAAATAACATACGATTACAAGTTCCCTATAGAAGACGAAAAGATTCCATGTTTGTGTGGGGCTCCTAATTGTCGTGGCACTCTTAATTAACTCAAATATGCAGAACACATCGATAATTGGTTGTTTTGGTAGTTTGAATGAGCACCTTGGTCTGATATGAATGTTGAATAACCTAAAATCTTCTTTGGTTGAAGTAGCGAGATATACAGAGGGGGAAATTGTGTCCAGATTTTACCTAATATGAAGAATACTTGTTTTATTTTATGACAAGTAAAGATGATATTTGAAATGTAGATGGTAAAAAGAGAGGAAACAGCTATACATGAGAAGAAAATTGTCACTATAGGCAAGTGTTTGTTGTATACAGAGAGATGGGAGTCTATATCACTCCATTTTTTTGGTCATGTGAGTAATTCTATTCACATGATCTCACTTCAGTATTCTGTTGTATGTTGTCATAGTGATAGCTTACTTGATTTATCAAAAATCAGTCTTGAGAAAAAATGGTAACCTATTGTAATCATTTGAAGGATATTAAGGCTAGTTTCATGGCCAATTGTAAAATGTTGATTGTAATGTGTGGTTCTGTGAGAATGGAGTTGGATGTTGAAAGTAGGTGCTCTTATTGATTAGGGACATAATATTAAAATCTAGAAATCCTCATCCACATTGAAGAGTGCATTACCAGTACTTGAATGTTCCTTCTCAGTACAGGGAGTCTTGTTCCATAATGTGTAATTCAAAGAAGTGTGAAAAACAACTTACTTATTGAAATCAAAGTGATTTTAATGTACATATAGTGCTATTAAATGCATGTTGTTAAGAGTATTTAATTTCAAGTCTTAAAGACAAGCTGGGATGATATCATTTTATATGTGTGTTTGCCTTGTGCAAGGGGAGGTAATTGTGTGAGAGATGAATTATTGCTTTGCAAGAGAGGAGAATGAAATGTACTCATTATATATTGTGTGCACTTGACTTGGGCAGCTACTTTTGTTTCTTATGCCATTTTAGTAAAACATCTATTGAATGTAAGAATTAATTGAATGTCACTGCCAAATTACATCATCTGTTAAAGAAGTGAATAAATTTTGAGCAAGCAAAACATTGGGAAAATTGTACATTGAAAGGCTTTGCATGTATTTCATAAAATTTGTTTTGTTTTGTTAATGTTCGAAATTGTTGCAGTTTTGAAAATTTATTTCTGAGAGCATTTACCCTGCTGTTGGTTTTAAGAAATATTTAATATGTTTTTAAAAATGAAAGAAACAAAGCTTAGTATTTATTTATTGTAATTGGGATTATGCTTGAAGTTGTTAACTAGAAATTTTATACTTTGACTAGATAGCAATTTTGAATTCAACATGTTAAAAGATTTATTACAAATTTGCATTTTTACCATGATTAAATAACTTTCTTTTTGACAAATCATACATTCAGTATAAATCCATCAGTTTAGTTATGCAATAAATTATACATACATGTATCTACATGTACATGTATATATGGTAAATGGTATCTACTATTAATTAATGTACACATTTAAGCAATTTTAGGGGAGGAAAAAAAAACGAAAACTCAAATTTCTGCATTGCATTTGCATATTCATGAATATTCAATAGAGTTCACCATCTTTTCGTATGTAAATATAGTATTGGTTACTTGTGTGAGAAGTACCCTTAGTTACAATTATATAGTGCTTTTATACTTGTACAGTTGGTTGAAGTCTGTTATTCTTTGAAAATGTTCTGTACAGTTTTGTATGTCATCCATGTACAAATGAATTGAATACTATTTTAATAAATGTTAAATGAAATTTTTCATTTTGTGAATCATTGAGTATAGAAGTGCATGCTTTATGTTAAATTGAAGCATAGATTTTGGAATACATTGATGAGCTGCTGCCTATGTATTATACAGTTGAACCCGGATATCTGAAACATAACTTGATATTTGACATAATTTATGAGATGACCAAAAGTCACTATACTCTCTATTTACCACCAGATGGAAAGGGCTGAGAGAATTAAAAATTAATAACCTGCTGTTTGAAATTTAGGGGATTGGTGGAGGTGAATGAAAAGTTTGTTTTAAAGTAATATTGCAATGTACTTGAGTAAATTTGATCAGTATGGAACAAATATTAAAAAAAATACTTTTGCAGTTTATTCCAGCACTTTTTTGTATTGTATTTTACAAAAGCCACTTGTGTCAGAGTTAAGTGAGTTTGCCATTGTTGCTCAGGTGAACAATGTGGTCCCTGGACCTCTTGTTGTTATTATTAATGCTAATTATTTTAAAAATAATTTTTAGAGATTATTCTGTGCCACAAACAAATTGTTCAGAAAGGGGACATTGGTGGATTTGCATTTTGGGTACAGTTCAAAGAATTTTCAATATGGTGATGGAAGATCAGAGGGAGGACAAATGGGAAAAGTTGACAGAGAAAGAAGAGAAAAGAATTAGGAAATATCTGGAATAATTATGAATGGGGAAGATGTACTTCATCTTGTCAGAATTTGACATGCAAGGCATTCTATATTTATATGTATGCTGAAGTATCATTTTGATTGTAAAATCTCATTGTAATGTATTCACATTTTATATTTCATGCTTTATGCATAAATACATAAACATTTTTATGAAAAACTATATATATATATATATATATGTATATATGTATATATGTATCTTTGTTTGTTAGATCGAGACACCATCATTTGTGATTTCATACTCATTTATGTGTTAAATATGCTGTAGGTACATGTAATATGAATTACTTATGATTTGTCATAAATTTACATAGAGATTAAATATATTGACAAATTTTATTGCAGATATTTCAATTTTGCTAAGGACACTTCCATGTCATATGGTATTTTTATACAAGTACATGATCTAATTATGTTATTCATTGGTACATGTATACATGTTCATCTCCTTGATCATTTTGCTGAAATCCTTTCAAATAATTTGTACTCATTTTAGAATATGTAAAATACATGTATCGACAAATGCTACTGACTTGTTTGTATACTTTCTTGTTTAAAGTGTGCACTTTGTGAAATTAGTTATTTCTGTTGATGAAAATACTTTGGAAAATTGTGCAAGCATTATCAAATATTTACAGATATTTTACAGATCATTGGAATGTACTGAAATTTCATCTAAAGCAGAAATACCTGATTTTCAATGTGTACAAGTGTGTATTTCCTTTTGATAAATATGAGGAAAAAAACCCCCACATAAATGTTTCATATGATATACATATGATGCCCATTTCATATGATTCTCATATGTAAATGACTTGAAACACACTTAAACTTTTCATGTTTAAATCATATGAAGTTCTTTTCATATGATTCACATATGTGAATCATGTGACTCAAATGATTTGCTTCATATGATTCACATATGATGCCCTTTTTTATGATTCTCATATGAAACCAATCATATGATTCACATATGATACACATATGTGGATCATATGTGGCAAAGTTGCCTGTGTAGACAGTAAAAGAAAGACTTAGTACATGTACTGTCAATGCCAATCATGTCTTCCTCAAAATATTGTTTGTCGTTTGAAATGCTTTCTTGACAAGTGCACTAAACATAAAATCTTGACAAAGAAATAAGGGTTTACCACTGTTCACTTTTATATATAACCTGCATCAGGAGTCTGAAAACGTTTTTCTTGATTGATATGCTTAAGTTTAACAGATACATGTATTGAAAGAGGTCAAATATTGGTAAAGGTCAAGTAGTTCACATTTAAAAGTGAAAAAAAAGATAATGAACAGTAATCAATTTCATAAAATGTAAGCAAGTTTGTTTTAAAGTAACCTGATGCAGGTTATATATAAAAGTGAACAGTGGTAAACCCTTATTTCTTTGTCAAGATTTAATGTTTAGTGCACTTGTCAAGAGAGAATATGTAAGCAATTAAAAATGTGAAGCAGGCAAAAACGGGGGCTCTTGGAAACACCAGAGGTGGGATCTAATGCCAAGGAAGAGCGATAAACATCATGTCATTTAGTGGCCACACCTCATTGTGAGGTATTACAAAATATGTTTGACTCCAGAATTACTGGAAAATGTTACTGAATTTCATTCAGATGTGATTAAGTGTGGGAATTTGATGGTTGATACTGCTAACTGTAACATATCAAATCTAATACTGTTACTTTTATGCTTCCTATGTTTGAAATCATTTTGGTGCAGTTACCAGGATCAAAATGTCTAGATGACTATTAAAAAAACCGTTGAAGTCTCTTCAACATTATTATCTAAATGATTTAAATTTGTCAGAGTCTCAAATTGTGATACAACAATGATTTATATGATGTCCATGGTAATGATGACTAAGCATCAAAATTCTGAAAGTTATTTGTTGTTCATCAGCATTGTGCATGTTTGGAGATCACTACTGTAACAGTAAAATCTTTTGATGTTCGTTGATTTTCAAGTGATTCAATGTAATAAATATCGATATAATCTTCCAGTGCAATGGCAGATTTAAGGTCATAAGCAACTTACAACTCTTCTGTGAAATCCCTATTTTATGACATCACTGGGCATCCATACAAATGCAAATATAGGTCAAGAAGTGTTGATGTTTACATTGAACTTGAATCTAAAGGACAACTCTAATGTAGAACACCCCTTTCGTCTGCTAACAAATGAATAATAATTAAGCATGCTTTATGAATGACAAAGACCAGGGACAAAAGTTTTCTAATTACACGATTTAAACGATGAAACATAAAGGGATTTGTTTTAGTCGGAGTAGCGTAAATCTCGCGAGATGTCATTATCGTCGCGTGATGTAAGATGGACGACAGATTCAGGAACTTCGCAAAAATTTATAAATAATGATGCATAGTTATGATACGTGTTATGTATAGAATTAACTTATAAATCAAAATGGGAGGCAAGGAATCTAAGCTTCAATACTTTCCTTTCGAGGAGGCATGCAGACGGAGTAAGTAAACATGAACCATAATATTATTATGTCACATAGCATTTTCTCCATGAACCTATCCTCAATATTTCGAAATGTTCGTCTATTCTTTTTGAATTCGATTTTGTACAATGTAGAATAAAATATTATTTAGAGATATGGATGGTTGAATTAAGTAGTAAATCATAATATAAACGTTTTCAGAATTATTATGAGAATTCAATATGACAGAATAAGCTCTCTCATTAATATACATCTTACGTGTATTCAAAATTTTGAATACCGTAAATAAACATACACATGATTCATTCAACCAGAGACATATAAAAACCTATATGTCTCTGATTCAACAACACAGTAAAAAAGTTGAGAAGTACAGTAATTCTGAAAAGAAGTCATGGTGTAGAGATTGTTTTTCATCAAATATTGTGGAAACAATTTTTCTCCTGTTGTTAGACGTCTTATAATGAAGGCTGTACAGGTGTAAATTACATCTTTAATAAAATACAGTCAAACCTCATTATTGCAAAGTCAATGGGGCTGAGAAAAAATGTCAAGATAACTAAGGAATAGAGATATTGAGGTTAAAATATATAAAAAGTGGTATTTGAGGTGTTTTGATATTCATGATATTGAAGTTCAACTGTACAGCTGTAGATTACTTTGCAGAGAACTCCTGCATATGCGGATAAGGAGAGGAGCCAAAATTAAATTAAAAGTGAGATGGGATAGAAGAAAAAATAATCTGATTAAAAAAAAAAAACAAAGATACACATGTAGGTTAATATTTAATAGTTAATTCATGTGCTCATTTTTTCTGCTGCATATAAGTAAAATCTTGTCAGAAAACCAATGTTTTATCAGTTTTCATAGAAATTTATTATTCTTCACATTTAGTATTTTTTTTCAATGGGGTAGAGTTGGGAGGGGGTTCTGTGTGTCCCATAAATCCTCTATTAGTCCAATCCACATTTTGCAAAAGTTGTGTCCCTTTGCAGGGTCAACCAAAAGGTCAAAAGGGAAAGAAACAACAATTCTCCTCTTTATACTACCGAACATTTTGGGCGTGCTCCAATAAATCCAGTGTGTTTAATTTTTTTCTTTCAATGTTTTGGGTAGCCCCATCTTGAGGCAATCATTATACAAGAAGCAAAGATTTTTTCCAGTCAAATGACAAAGTTAACAAACCAACTACAAAGGCTACTGTAAGGATTCTATGAGGTTTTTTCCCCCAAAGATGGTGGCCAAGGGACATACACTTTTAAAAGTGTGGATTCAACTGTTGAAAATTATATGACGCCAACCATTCCCAAGGAGCCTAAATCTGTGTTAAATGCTGAAACAAACAGAAAATGGAATATCATGACATCTTGTGTAAGCAGCACCTGAGAGCTACGGGTGTGACTGAATCACATCATCAGTTGTCTTTAAAATCAATAAGCTTACTTCATTTACCTGTATTTACAGTGATACTCTAGCAGTATGTGTAAACACTGAGACTGTCGACAATGAAACTTTAACATGTTAAAAAATACACTTGTAAATACATGCATACAGTACATGCTGAAAGCATAATTTTTTACTAAAAGAAGACAAGTATAATTAACTTTATCAAATGTACCAATTATAATAATTTTTTTTTTATTTGGTATGCTGTGTTTTTGATCTTCCGTAAGAATCTTTTTTTTCTAACTGTTTGGTCCTAGTCATTGAATGCAAGGAGAAAAGAGAGAGGAGAAAAGCATAAACCTATAGTTTTCCAGCATTAGTTTTTGATTCTTCCATGTACAGATTGACAGTGGTTAATCTTTTCTGTGCTTATTCATATAAATGGCTTGCACCTTTCAGATATAATATTTTTGGTATATGACTGCACAAAAAGCAACATTAGCAATTTCAGCATAAAATGTTTTAAAATATCAATTTCAGTTGGAATTTATTTTTCCTATTAGGAAGTTCCTCATATTTCTACTGGTATCCCACATTATCATGATTATAGAATATTACTACAGATGTTAAATAAATGGTAATCAAGTTCATTAAAAAAAAAAAGACATGTAGAATAAGATTGATAGACTTAGTTATGTATTAATATTCCCCAAGGATAAATCTACTTCAAAAAATGTTGATTGGTTGTCTCATTTGTGTAATTCGTACAAAGAATGGCATTATTTAGCCATGTAATGGTTATGTATTTGTTTAATTAGTGTAGGGAAATTTACCAATAATTACAGATAATTGTGGCTTTACACAGTGGAGGAAAATCAATAATGTACTCAGGGCTCCATCAGTAATGGGAAAGTTATCTTAGTCTTACCAGATAATTGCGGATCTCTGTCCCTTTTTTTATAATTATTTTTTTTTTATTCTTTATTATTTCAAGCAACCATTTATTTGCTCGATTTCAGTAGTGGGAGAGCTGCTTTTGATTTTTAATTGAATGAAAAGTTCATAAGGCTATGAACTTATATATTCTCACACTATTCAGGAATATTTCATAAAATGTTCATGAGATGTTTTAAAATGTTATGTGTGATTTTATTTTTAATTAAACAAAAATAGTTATTTAAATGCGTTTTATTCACCGTCTTTACATGGGGGATGGGATATGGGGTTGTGGGTTCATCGATTGTGATGTCACAGTTACCGGGATGTTATACATGTAGTAAACAAACAATTTTAAAATACATATTTCTTGTTATTGTTTTTTACTCATGGAATAGAGCAGAAATGTTTTTTTTCCAGTAAGAATCATACAATTATGAGTTTTATGACACCCTTATACTTTTAACCATTTGTTTTCTGCCCCATCTTCTCAAGGGAGACAAATTATAGACTGATAGTAAAACTTGGTACCAGAATCTTTAAAATAACTGTAAAGTTGAATGGAGAAAGCTGTTTCAGTGTTAAGTCATAGAGGTTAAAGCTAAAAATCTCTGGTAAGAACAAATAATTAATCTACATTATCCCAACGAAAGATTTTTAACCACAAGGCTTCTTAGATAGATTTGGGGGGAGGGGGAGTAGGGGGGAATGACGACAGATATTGTTACAACTTTTTATGATGAGGGTAAGGGAAAATGTGGCAAGCTTCCTTCTTTTATAAATTAGGTAATTTTACAATTTTTTGTTTTTATCATGATATTGAATTTAATAAGATCTCTTAACATACATTTTTTTTGGCTTTGTTTGTTTGCTTTATTGTCAAAAAACATTGTTTTTGTTAACTTTGTAAATTCTATAGATGACGCAGCATCAAATTCCTTGGAGGCTAATGGGATTCCAGTAGGCAAGCAAAAGAAGAACATTTATCAAAACTGTTTTCATATCTTTAACATTGCATTTATATGTCCTCCTTTTTTTTATACCAACAGTGAAGGAGACAGAACTTAAACGATCCAAAGATGCCTTCAAAAGGGTGGCCACTCTTGGGGGTCAAATGTCGGACATCGTTTTCTGTCGAGAAGTCTTAGGGGAAGGAGTCCCTCCAGGGATTGCTAATGTAAGTTCTATTTATTATCCTCTATCTTAGACAAACTATGTCAAATATGCCAAGATATGAAATTTTAAAGGACAAGTTAAGAAAAAGATGTCTTACAAGGAAATTTTGGATGTAACTACAAAAGCTTAGCTGAGTCAATTTTTTGGAATCTGTTTACTGGTATTCTGATTTCTCTGATGATCGTTTCATGTTTTTTTCACAAAATCCATTTCTTTCTTGTTGTCTTACCTGTTTTCTTTTCAAGTAATAATTAGCTTTACTTCAAGTTAATTTTATTGCAGTATGGATTATTACAATTTTTATCCTTTTGTGCAAATAGTAAAATTGATACTTCTGTGAAAATAAAGCTATATATGCTGAAACCTAATCTTATTATTTATACATTGATTGAGCATATTTTTATTTCTTCCCTTTACTATATTAATATATGATTTTAAAATCTGATTTCCTTTATGAAAAGTATTTCCTTAAATGAAGGGATTATCACTCAATCTGACTATAAAGCCAGATCTCTATTTACGCTATCACAATACCCGGTAGATAGAGCTAAAATAGAGCATAAATAGAGCTATCGCAATAGCGTAAATAGAGGTCTGGCTTTAGTCAGATTGGATGATCACTGAGCTACAGTCAAAGACATGTGCATTTTTTCCCCATGTATTTTAGCTTCTGTACAGAGGATTTGGAGGCACCTCCAAAGGGCTCTCTCTGAAGGACTTGTTGTGTGGGCTCGTTATTCTCACCAAGGGCTCTGTGGAGGAGAAAATAAAATGTGAGCTTTAGAAAAACATTCAATACATGTTATATATGTCATAATGACCAAGAAAGAAAAGGAGAAAAACAAAGCATCCAAATCAAACAATGCTAACATCAAAGCTATAACATGATCTGTCAAATGCTGAATGACTTCACTTTGTCAAAAAAGTCAAAGAAAAGTGAATCACCATGATTTATTTTCAGAAGTTTAACATAAATGTTTTTTATTTTTGTGTAGTCCTGTTTGGGATGTATGCCGATGACAGTTACTCCTTCGTACAGAAGGAGGAGATGGACCGATTGGTTCTGGAGTCTGAGGGACAGGTCTCCAATGCTCTCTCTGACCTCTTTATGGAGGTATAAAACCCTGGTTCCAAAATCTGTCATAGAAAGGAAAACCAATTTTTAATACCTACTGTAAAAAGTGTTTTACCGGTATATGAATATTGGTACTGCAATGAAAATTCCATTATGGTATAAAAATTTGTTATATCCCTCTATACATGAATATTGGCACTTGTATATGCAGTGCCTTTTAAAAATTGAAAATATATACTGCCAATTTAGGAATTGAAAATGTTTTTTATTGCTTCAAAAAACAGAATGATCAGGTGACCTTTGATTATTTTCGACTGTGGGTGAAAGCTCATCCTGATGCCACAGAAATGACAAAATGGCTGTTGATGGAACCCATGACGGTCAGTCTCTCGGATGACACAGACACACCCACTTTCTATCAAACTCTGGCTGGGGTCACACACTGTAAGTGCTGGTGGTCCCATTCATGTCAGCTTCCATATGATTCAAATTATAGTATGTAAATACCCTGTGAGGGAAATTTTAAAAAATTGAAACCAAAAAAAGGATGCTCCAGTTTACATATTACAGGTATTATGTGGTTTGTTTTTCAGTGGAAGAGACGGACATTAGTGAACTAGAGAAAAGATACTGGGCTCTGAAGTCTCAATCCAAAAGTGGGAAATTTGATCTTGACACATTCAAGGCCATGGTCTGTCCACCAGTGCCAGAGGCTATTTGTGAAAGTGAGTACATGAATAAGCTCTCCCCTGTAATGGTTCGGTGATAATCATTTGTCCACAATTTATATATCTTAATCAAATATGTTTGAGTTTATAACTGGATGGTAAGGTTAGTTCTCCTTTTGTATCAATGGAATAAAGGAGAAACATAGAGTTTGATGATTCAAGTTTCATTTGTGAGCTAGCTTCCTAGCTCTGCAAGACGAGGGAAAAAAATCAATGTTCTAATTAATATCTAATAGACTTTTTGCAGATTTTAATGGCAGACTTCCTTTATAGGCAAAATAGACAGAAAAAAAAAATGTCAAATTCATATTTGATTGACTTATTTTAGATTCTAATCAATTTTTTTTAGTAGGATTGTATTGACACATATTAAAACGTCAGAAAACCTTGTGTCTTCTATAAATGAATTATGCATATCACACAGAATCAAGGAAATATAGTATAGATTCATGTGATGCAATTTGTGTTCATTTTATGTGATGAAATTTGCATGTCAATTTACAATTTGCTTGTAGGCCTTTTCCATGCATTTGATGAAAACAGAGATAATCACATAGATTTTAAAGAGATGGCTTGCGGAATTTCAGCTTGCTGTAGAGGACCAGGAACTGAAAGACAAAAATGTGGGCAGCTCAGATTTTTTTTAGCTAAAATAAAAACCTTTACTTTTAAGAAAAGTTCATTTTATGTTTTTAATGGAAAATGAATAGAATCATGCAATATGTGTAAAGCAAGTTTACAACAGAAATAGAAATACGAGCTATATTTAAAACATTTCTCTCCCATGAATTGATGTTATGTTATAAATATTAAGTGCATGTATATTAATTATAAACATTACATGAAAATGGAAAATATCTAATTAACATTTTTTCTTTGATTTAGTTTGCTTTAAAGTGTTTGATATGAACCATGATGGCAAGCTGTGTGAGAGGGAACTAGTACAGATGGTCAAAGCTTTACTGAGAATACGAGAGGAAAACCAACCAACAAACACAATGGTAACCATAGCAACCTTTCTAAACATTAATATGCCCACAAATTAAAAGAAATGAAAGAGATTTGGAATTATATTAATAGAAGTCTACGTACATGTACATGTATATATTTATGTAAAATCTTCATCTCAAGCACATGTTTGTGTAGATGATGGAAAATTCAAAATCAGTTGAAAGTGTTTTCTAGCTTGAAGGCCAGAAATATGTAGATTTCCATATATGTATGTAAACTTACATGTGATGATGAGAGGAAATGGATCTCGTAAAGTTAACATTTTGAGTCATTTTCACTGTTTGAATTATTTAATAGGAGTGTGATCCTTTCTATAACATGGACCCAGAACTTGTAGCAAAAGAGATTCTAGCGAGTCATGATGGAGACAAGGTAAACAATTCACAGCTTTTATTCCATTTTGTTTGAAGCCATATCTTTGATATATTGACAAATGCTTGGAAAAGTGCTGTACTTAAACTTTAATTAAGATTTGGTACATGAACACCATTATTGATCAGATGAAAGTCATAAAATTGTAATCATGCAATAAAGAAAAATCAATGGGACTGGCAATATTTTATCTGGAATGAAAAAAAATAGATCCTATATTTGGAACTTTTTTATGTGGTGAAAACAAATATAAATGCATAATAGTAGATCAATAAAGCTAAATTGGAAAAATATTTGAAAAATTTATGAGAATGTGAAGTATCCTTTGATTTGGGTATGATAAATAAATGATATGGGGTATTGTGACGTCACCCGTATCGCACAGTGCAGAATCGGTGTATTTACTACTAAGTATATGATAAATGCAGATATTGCAGAAACTTTTCTTTTTGTATTTCTGAATGTGTTGCTTGTCTATTGTAAATACATGTATAATATGATAATATTACAATGATGTCATAAATGTGCGTATTGATGTAATTTTTTTCCCCAACAAGTTTTGTTTTAAGGTCAAACGACATATTCTTCAATAATATATAATTTTTTCCAAGAATTTGTCATTGAAGTATTGCTACTTTAATGGGTTTCCTCACAAAAAATTTAAGAACCTTACCAGGCATTTCTGCAAGATACAGATACCATAACAGAGGATGTTATTTGCTATATAATCCTGTTAGAAATCACTACCATTTCCAATATTACAATTTTTTGGTGTCTTTATATAAGACATTTTGAAAACAGTTTAAAAATCACAAGATAATGATAATTATGATTTATTTGTTATATATTATGAAGAGATACAAAACAGATATTCAAGCAACGTTTCATCAGGCCTTGACTGAATTAATTTGCTTTTCCTTGGAGTATGGCTTGTACTTCAGTTTTTACCTTTAGATTTTATGTAATGTACAAAAATGTATTTTTTCTAATAACAGGATGGGTGTCTAACTCAGGCAGAATATTTAGTGTGGACAGTCAACAACACGCTGGCAGATAATTTCCTAGATTTACTCAGTCAGGTTGTTCACTTATATCAAATTAATGTAACCTTTCTGGTAGTGTTTGATCTAGAAAAGTAAAACATGTGCAAGAGAATAAAAGAAATACTAATGTAAATTTGATTATTCTAGAGTAAAGTACATGTAGTAATATGCAGTATTATTTATTAAGATATGCCATTTGGTTATGGGCCTTAAACCTCAAACAAAAGAAGAGGAAGGGGAGATAATCAAGTAAGATTTTTACACATTTACAAACTTAACTGGTTCAAATATTCATTCTTAGTTTTTCACATGTAAAATGTGGTGTTGTTATTACAGAATATGATTTATGCTGTCTTTGTTAAATGACTTGGGCCTTTGGCACCAGTGAGCTATTCTGATCAAATTTCTGGTCTGCTGTGTATCTTCCACATGTTGCATGTTGACTGTAAAGTTTTTAAAAATCTTCTTCTCAAGAAACACTCAAGAAAAGATGAAACCAATGTTCACTCATAGATACTTCTTTTAGAAATGATTGGCCCTTGAAATAGAAAGGGGTTTGAAATGAGGATAACGAATATGCCAGAAGATCTTGAGAAATATTTTTCATTCAAGAACAGCAGTTCCAAAATTAGTCAAATTGATATGCAAAATGTAGATTCAAGTGTGTTCAAATCATAGCTAGCCCACAGGGGTTACACATGAGTTCAAAATTCCATATTGGAATAATACATATGCTGGAAAAGTTTATATGAAGTTTACTTATATTAAAAGCAGTGCTACAAATATTGTAAACTACATAAATTAGCACTTAAAATTTAGCACAGTTGCTTCATCAACTGATAAATGCAATCATGAATTAGCACACTAGAGTTTTAACAACAACAACAACAGGTAAAAGCTTTAATTATATATTAGCATGTAAGGTATATAAATTAGCAGACAAGAACCAGCATAAAAGGCACTAAAATATTATTACATGCACTACTAAAATACAATGTAAGTATGTTTACAGTAGTCGGTTTAATATTCTAGCATCTCCATGTAGTGTAGATAAAAATTTATTCAAGTCGTAGCCATAGGGCTAGGGTGGGGGATCCATGGAGAGTTAAAGACAATCTTTAAAATTTTCTTTTGTAAGGGGAATCAGGATGTTGAGGTGAGATATGTGCATATTAATTTTTTTTCATATCTTGTATGTATATTAAAAAAGCATGTCTTTCATACTTAAATGCAGTTCCTGCATCAGGTTCCAGCTTAAAAAGAGATACTGCATGACAAGTTTTAGTCCTTGAGTATTTATATAGAGTTTGATTGATTCTTCAACCTTTATAATTCTGTCTGTAAGGGGGGATTTTAAGCACTATTAAAAAATACATTATTTCAATAGTGGACATATACAGTAAAACACACTTATAGCAAAGATGCACATAACGAATTGACACTTACAGTGAAGAGATTGTAATTCCCTGTGACTTTAAAATATATTGTAAACTTAATGGATATAACAAATTACACTTATAAGGAAGCAAAAAAAGACTATCCCTGGAACTTCGTTATAAGTGTTTTACTGTATCTATTTGATATTTTAAAATATGAATTGAATTAAAGATTTAAAGGGCAGATTGCATATACCGGTACATGGAATAAATTGCTTACTTTTCAAGTGAGTTTAAATGAAGTAAATTAAAATTAGAAGAAAACATGCCATTCAGAATTCAAACAGGGCACAACTGTATTACTTGTACATATATTTATAACTACATGTAGGTTAAAAATACCCAATATCTAACTTTTCCATTTAAAAAAAAAGCAGAAAAACTCTTTGACTTAACATGAAAACTTGAGTTTTTATCTTATTTAATATACTAATAGCAAAATGCATGACATCACTGACTTGGTAGATAAGGAAGACATGGGAGTGGATCTGTCTATTTCATAAACTTATACAACTGTATTTCATTTATCTACATGTACACATCGTTTATTTGTAAGGAAGAAAAATATGACTCATGTGAGCATTGTGGGCATTTAGAACTTTGGTCATTGTAATTGCAGTAATACAAGAGAATTTTTTAGGTCTAGAGAGCTGATGAACAATTCATTTTAAAATTGTAGGCAGTGGCTTCAGAGAGAATCCAAGAAGAGTTTTGAGATTGGTCAGGTATGGTACCTGATCAGCATGACATGGTGGAATTCCTGGATTGAATATGTCCAACCACCGGTATGTTTTATCACTTAAATGACTCTAACAATGTTTTTTTCTCCTAATTTTGTAATCTTACTTATTCCCCATTTCACTTAATCATGATTAGAATTATATTGAACTTTTTGCCTTCTAGAAATCTTGCTAAAATTTGAATAGGCATGAAAAAAAGTTAACCTGAGCAAGGGCACACTTGAATTTTTCTGATTGAAAAGTATGTGGCATTTTTCATTGTTTTTTTGTCGTCTTTAAACTTCTCATATTCCAGAAACCAATTTTAACCAAACACAGGGAGTTAATTATAGAATTGTAAAAAAAAAAAAAAATTAAAAAAAAAAAAATAAAAAAAATAAAAAAAAAAAAAGCATGGGAACTTTAACATGGGCCCATGGGCCACATCACTCACCTGAGTACGTTGGCTAGGAAAAAAGCAAAAATCAGTTCATTATTAAAAAGCTTAAATGCATAAGAGGTCCCAACTTACCCCTAAAGGGGGGGGGGGGGCATTATTTGAACAAAATTGAATCTACACTAACCAAGGATGCTTACATATTTCTATATTATCATCAATTGTGGCCCCACCCTATCCCCAAGGGGTCATGATTTAAACAAACATGAATCTACACTACCTGAGGATACTTCCGAATAGTTAATAACCAATCATGGCTTTGCTGTTCTTGAGAAGATTTTTTCTTATATATTCCTATGAAAAACTTTGATTGTCCATTGTGGCCCTGCCCTACCCCTGGGGATCATGATTCGTACAAACTTGAATCTACATGTCTACCTTAGGATGCTTCCATATAAACTCAGTTATAGCAAAGTCGTTTGAACCACTGTATAAGGATATAGAGGGCATTGTCATACATAGGCTTGTTATTGTACACTTGGACTATACATGTATACTGAAATGCCGAAATGTTTGTGTTGCATGTATATGTATTTTAAATTCTTGATAAGAGAAATTTGTACTTGATTTCAGATCCAGTTGTTAAATGGCAGGTTAGATAGTGGAGAACAGGTCAGAATGAATGGAACAGAGGCTATGCACAAAATAACCAAAAGCAAGCATGCCTCAAAAGCTCTTCCATGGGATGATGACTCAGTTATAATTGTGAATATGATAACAAAGGGAAAGAACTCAGAATACAACACTTCAATCAATGGCAGTTTCAAATCCAGCACAATTCCACAAAGGTCCCAGTCTGCTTGCAGTAGTCCAATTAAGACTTGTCTTTCTGCCTCAGACTCTAATGGACTCACTAGTCTTAGTCCAGGTCCCTCCCCAAAGCTCCGCAAAAAAGGACTTCAGCAGACAAATTCTCATCCTGTGAAACCTGGGCCAATCGATAACACCAACCTTATTACTCCTAACAATTCAAAGGTGAGATACTGATTATAGTCTATTCTTAGATTTATTTCTATTTTATTTATTTTGTTGTTGTTGTTGTTGTTGCTGTTTTTGCTTCAGAATAAGTAAAATCAAAACAGTAATAAAAATAACTCATACTAAAGAAGAACAAGCACTTACATGTATGTATTTAGAGTGCAGTGAAAATTTATCTTATTTGGAAAAGGTGAAGAGGTACCAAACTAGAAAGAATGGGAAAAAATACCAAGATGTGAAATTGTACATCTTTAAGTCTGACATTAAAATCAGCTTGTTTTCCATCAGAAACTTGCAAAAAATGTGACACAGAAGGATATATGCTTAACTACATGGAATCAATTCCAGCTTATCTGTTTTGGGATTTTAGGTAGTAAGTCTCACCAATGAGGGAGGCAGGCTACGGAGGGATACCATGTTGGTAAGGGGCAAGGATTTTGAATTGGTGCCTGAAGTGATATGGAGGTCACTGTCAACCTGGTATGGAGGAAATATTGCTCTACCCAGGACAGTAAGTTGTATTGCACAGTTAATGTTAATTGATAAGAAGCAAAGATTTTTTTAATTTTATTATAACCTCCACAGGGTTCGACACTAACTTTTTTACCTTGGTGGACCGCAGGTCCATCAGTCAAAAAATATTGGTGGACCTTCTCAAATTCTGGTGGACCTTTATGAATGTTTGAATTAATGAATGAATTCACAACACAAGGCTTGAAACCAACTTATGTACCCAGTCTCGTCAGACTAACAAAGTATAAGTTTAACCAGTCAACAGAAACAAATCAATTAGTCAGGAGTTTTCAGCAATATTGTGAAACATATTTTCAATATTTAAAAAAAAAGAACACAATCTACATCTTCAAACAATTTGTTATTTTAATATCATTTATTTTCAATGGTAAAAACCTGCATTTATTTAGCTTCCAACGGTAGATATAATTTTTAATCCCAATAATTGAGTTGTTCATATAAACAAATGGATTTTTCATGTATCTATGGCTAGAATACTTTTTACTACGATGCAAAACTGACAAAAGTATATTTATTTATTTTAATTATTATTTATTCAAATAAACTGCGATCATATGATTCTTTTATGTGATATAATGTATAGCAGAAAAAAAAACAGGAACTACAGATAACATATTCATAAAATATAAATTACACCTGTTTGAGGACAATGCATAAATGCAGCTGTCAATCAATTCTCATTATCTCCAAACCTGGCCATCAGAGTGCGTTCAGGCATGAAGTGATTTCTTGTTACCCAGTGTTTCTGTACATTAAACAAACAAAGGACAGACTGACCAATTTGGCTCGAATTTTACATGCTTCTTTTTCAAGATCCGTATTGAATGTTCTTGCAGTCAATGTTATTGATATTGTAGTCATCAATATTACATGTAAAATATATATTTAGTCGCTAGGTTCCCCTGATTACCCAAAATAAATTATACCCTATTTCTTTCTTGTAAAATATAAGTTTGGATGAATTCATCGTTGATTTACTGATGTCGATTTATAGAAAAAGTGGAATTACCGTTTTTTCTTTAATATGGTGTTTAATTTTTAAGTAGACCGACAGTCCACCTAGTCCAGAACATTTGGTGGACCTTCCAATTTTTTGGTGGACTCGGGCCGCCGGTCCACCGTTAGTGTCGAACCCTGCCTCCACAAACATTGTTGGGGTTTATAAAAACCACCATTTTGTCTTTCTGTCTGTTTGTCTGTCTGTGCAATCTTGTATGGGTCATAACTTGTAATGTAGAAAAATAAGATACTCATACTTGGCATCGTTTAAGACTTATGTCCTGAGGGTATGTACTGACCTTTACCCAAGGTCATTCCAGCAAGTTAAAGGTCAATGTCAGCAAATGTATAATTTGTGTCCAGTCTAAAACTCTTATGGAGAAAATTGGAAGTTGCTAGTTAATACAAAGATTGCTTAATAACCTAGGGTGTGTCATGATCTTGACCCAAGACCATTTGGCAAGTTCAAGGCCACTGGCAGAAAAGTGTAAAATTCATGTCCAGTCCATAATTTCCTGATGGAATATCATTGTATGTTAATACTTCACACAAATATTACTTATGTCACCATGACCTTGACCCAAAGATATTCTGACAAGTTCAAGGTCACTGGCAGAAAAGTATGTCTAGATCATAACTCTAATGGATAAATACTTCAAGCAAAGATTATTTAAGAGCTGAGAGTATGTCATAACCAAGACCCTTGTTAACTCTGGCAAGTTCAAGGTCAATGGCAGAAAAAGTTTAAATTCATGTCAGGTACCTAATTTTCTAATGGAGAAAAATTGGAAGTTCATATTTCACACAAAAATTAAGTTACTTATGACCACAGAGGGGTGTGTCATTTTCTTGAGCAAAGGTCATTTTGGCAAGTACAAGGTCAATGTAGAAAAAATATATCTGGGTATTTAAAAAAAAATTGGCATAATGGGTTATAATTTTTTGAGGTCATTCACAATACCTCTATTTAAATTTGGATTCATTTTAAAGTAAAGAAAGTTTAGTCTGTATATTGCATTCCTGTTTTGCTCTCCTTATTTGAATCAAGAAAATGTTGCATAGCCAAAATCCTGCACTTTTGTTTTGCAATGTAAAATTAATTTGAACATTACCTTGATTAGGTGATTGCCTCCAAAAATAACAATGGCAGTCCAGAACTGGAGCTGTATCCTGTGACAGTAAAGCTGTTACGACACCAGGTTGTTCCTCAACGTCCCAACCCCACCTCATTCTCAGGGGTCATGTCCGGAATAGGTGGCATGGCCCTTAGTAAGTATTCATTTGCCATTTAGGGAAAATTGGCAAAGGAAATTTGATGTAGTGTTTCTGTAAGGGAATTAATTTGCCCACTGAAAACATGGAAAAAGTATGATTTATCATTTGATTAATTTATTTGGGGGTAAAATTATAAATGACCTTTGAACTCTCTATAGGCATGACAAACTACGTCTCCAGTGCACCACCTATTCCAAGGCGCTATGTTGCTTTTACTGCAACCTTCAGCAAGCAACACACCATACAGCAAGTATATGAATTTCTCTGTACAAAAGTCAGATTTATCAGGGAGGACATCAGGCTATGGAAAATAGGAAGTAAAGATGATGTAAGTGGTGTTTATCTTTGTAGAAGTTTTTGTTTCTTGTTTATTTCTTAGGAAATCATTGAACATTTTGTTAAACTCACTTAAACTGGATTATCCTCACAATAAAGCAGCAGTACCTGATTAAATGAAAATGCTTCTAACATATCAATAATTGTAAATAATTGGGGTTTTTTTTGGTGCAAGATTACAGACATGTCATGTGTTTGATATTAAAAAGAAAGCTGTATACAATTCAAGCATCAGTCTAGAACATGCCCTGATTTTTAGTGCCAGAAGTTACATTAAAATATTGCTGAAGTTAGCTTTGATAACACCTGAATTTATTTTGTCGACACAGAGCATGACGCTCCTAGAAGATGAATCCATGACAGTAGAAGATTGTGGAATAGAAGAAAACCAGTCACTGTTGATAGAGGGTAAGTTTTGATTGAAAAAACTTAATTTACAATATATGATGTTTCAGTCTTGGTGGGTTTTTTTTCTGTGAGGTTGTTTTGTGTACTTGTAAAATGAGCTACATAAAAAGATGATCAGATTACACAACTAATTTCAGTTCGAAACAAGGACCTGACATGGCCTGAAGAAATGTCTCAGCTGGCCAAAAATAAAACATGTCGAAAAGAGCAAGGTAAGGTTTATATTATTGAAAATCAGTTAGTTTGTAACAGGTATTGTATATTTGTATATAAATATTAAATATATATTTGTAGATAAATTTTAATTGTTTTATGGATAAAGAAAATTCATTTAAAAAAAACTGTTTTTTTGCAGAAAATATGAATGTTTTATTTTGTCTCTATAGTACCCACCCAGAAGGGAGCTACAGGACTTAACAATCTAGGAAACACGTGTTTTATGAATGCTGCTGTACAGTGTGTGTCGAACACTTGGCCTTTAACTCAGTATTTTATTGGAGGGTTACATCTGTTTGAACTTAACAGGTGAATAATGTGTTTTTGTAAAAATTAACAAAGAAGATACTCCTTTCTATCCACATTCTACAGCTTTTGAATGTTTTATGTGATGTTTATAACTTGTTTTCTGTGCAGGTCTAATCCTCTAGGGATGAAGGGACATATTGCTCAGAGATATGGAGAACTAGTCAAGGATCTGTGGAGCGGAACCTCCAAAACCATAGCTCCTCTTAAGCTCCGAGTAAGATTACATATTTATAGCTCCTTTTAAGCTCTGAGTAAGATTACATATTTATAGCTCCTTTTAAGCTCCGAGTAAGATTACATATTTATAGCTCCTTTTAAGCTCCGAGTAAGATTACATATTTATAGCTCCTCATAAACTCTGAGTAAGATTACAAAACAATATCTCCTTTTAAGCTTTGAGTAAGAATACAAAACTTCCGAGTGAGGTTACATATTTAAACTCAAAGTATGGTTACATATTAAATCTCCAAGTGAGGAAATATATTCAATCTCCACAAGTGTGTAGTAAGGTTGCATATTCAAGCTCAGGGTAAGGCTACATACATCTATTTAAGATCCATGTTAGGCTAGATATTTATGCTTCAAGTAAGATTACATACATGTATTTAATCTCTAAGTGAGGCTTTACTTAATCTCTGAGTAAGGCTACATATTTAAGCTCCGAAAAAGGCTACATATTTAATCTCGGACTAAGGTTACATATTTAAGATCTGAGTAAGGTTACATATTTAAGGCTCAAGTAAGGTTACATATTCTAGCTCCATGTAAAGTAATGTAAAATGTAAAGTAACTTAAATATTAAGACAAATTCACAAGTAATCTGTGTAACTTTTTTTTCTTTGGTTCATCATTTTATTCATACATCATAGACTTGAAATTTTATTTAAAATTTACAAATGCAAATTTTTACTTACACAAACTTTGGTGGAATAGCTTTATGACGAATTCTGTAAATGTATTATATTTAGCATGTACGATATTTGGTGGAAATTGATTTTTGAACATGTTAGCATAGATTTGATTTTTATAGCACATTTCTTAGTGTTCTTATGTATGTGTATATGTGCAAGACATTTAGCGATATACTTATATTAGCGGAAGTTGCTTTCCGCTAAAGGCGCCAAAATGAATACACAGCCAAATGTAATACATTTACAGTATTTATTGATCTTGTACAAAATATTGCTGTATTTTGAAAATGCATAAGGAAGTTTTGTCAGATATTAAAAATAGTAACATTTCATTGTAATACTAAAGAGAAATGTTCTGTTGCAGTGGACTATTGGTAAATACGCACCACGTTTTAATGGCTTTCAACAACACGACTCTCAGGAATTACTTAGCTTTCTTTTAGATGGTCTCCATGAGGATCTCAACAGGTGAGAGCAGGCAGCCTATGGTTTATGGAATACTTGGAGAATATTCAATGTTTTGAGGTTGAATATGGAATTATTTCATGAATGGGACAGGATCTTATAAAATATTTTTACGAGTGCCAAGCACAAGTGAAAATACAAAAAAATCCTGTCTCACAAGTGAAATAAATTCCTTATTCAACTACTAAATATTGAATTTGAATTTTCTGTTTATTACATTTTCTTTGATTTTCCCTTTGCCTCCATCTTTTCGTAACACAGTGATGTCATAGCTGAGCAGTTGAGACATCTAAGCTTAGCGATTGTAAGATTGAAAACATTGTAAACATGGATTTAAACAACATATTTGAAGAAACTTTGGCAGTTTTAGACTCTGTGTCCAGATGGTTTATTTACTGTCTTATAACTGGCCAGGGAGGTTTTTTTTACAACACTCTTTGTGAAAGGAAGGAAAATCTTGAGTTTTGCTGCACTTCTGATATTTTTTCACACCGTGACAGAAAATATCACTTTTATTTTATAAATACAGTATTTCTTGGTTGAAAATGTAATAAATGAATTTTTTTTTAAATAATAAAATGTATGTTAATTATTTTTCCTTTGTATTGTTAGAAGTTGAATGTTTTGTGTATAAACATTTACACATATTTTCTTTTTTAATGCTAATGTCAGAGTAGTTTCAACTTTAACCCAGTTTTTTTATACATTAATTGACAAATTTCTAAAGTGTCTCTATGTCCTTAAACAGGGTTCATGTTAAACCTTATGTAGAACTGAAGGACAGTGATGGCAGACAGGATGAAGTGGTGGCTGAGGAGGTAAGAGTGACAGATTGTAGAAATCAGCTGATTCTAGCCACATAGAAAAGGAATCTTTAACATTACAGCATAATTAGTAACAAATTATTGGAAGTTTATTGTTATAAATGACAGATATAATACTGGTACATGTAGATATGCTCAAATATTGGGGAAGTTGTACATTTATGCAGGTGCTGTAATTGTGGATAAGTTGTCTAGTTGAACAATGGACTTTTTCTTTACTGTAGAAATTTAGCTCATGGGAACCCTGACATTGTACTAGTACATGTATTTAATCTTCTGTTGAACACTGATAGGATATTGATGCATGAAAACCCTGGCAATTAACAACCAATCCTCAATTTTGTTAATGCTTCCATGTTGTCAAAAAATCCAATTTAAAAATTGGGATGGCACTATTAATTTCATGAATTTTACATGTACATGTGTCTTTAAAATTGCTAAGTAGAAAATATTTATTTTAAAATATTATCTTTTTAAATAATTTTATGTGCATTTCAGGCATGGGAAAACCACTTAAGGAGAAACCAGTCCATAATCGTTGATCTCTTTCATGGCCAACTCAAGTCCCAAGTGCGCTGTAAAGAATGTGGACACATGAGTGTCCGTTTTGACCCATTTAACTACCTCTCTCTCCCCCTTCCCATGGACAGCTGTATTCATCTAGAAGTCATAGGTAGGTAGTAATTGCTGATTTTTTTATGCCATCTGTATTATATTTAATATGTACATGCATGTTCAGACTTTGTAGTGACTTACATGTGCTGATTTTTTAGTGACTTACAAATATTGATTTTGTAGTGACTTACTTGAACTAATTTTGTAGTGACTTACATGTGCTGATTTTGTAGTGACTTACATGTGCTGATTTTTTAGTGACTTACAAATATTGATTTTGTAGTGACTTACTTGTACTAATTTTGTAGTGACTTACTTGTACTAATTTTGTAGTGACTTACTTGTACTTATTTTGTAGTGACTGACATGTACTGATTTTGAAGTGACTTACTTTTACTGATTTTGTAGTGACTTATTTGTACTGATTTTGTAGTGACTTACTTGTACATGTACTAATTTTTTACTGACTTACTTGAACTGATTTTGTAGTGACTGACATGTACTGATTTTGTAGTGACAAGACTGGATGGATCAGTACCAGTCAAATATGGCATTCGACTCAATATGGATGAAAAGTACAAAACTTTGAAGAAGGAGCTCAGTAGTCTGACAGGAATTCCACCTGGACAGATCCTGTTTGTGGAAATCATGGGACCAATTGTCAAGGTCAGACATTTTGTTATCTCTAAGTACTGTAAAATCACTCAAGTTTGAGGGAAAAATTACTGGTTTGAGGGGATTTGATTTTGTGGTCAAAGGGTAACATTAGACTTTAGTATGAAATGTTAACATTTTATCGTGGATATGAATTTGGGGGTCTCTTCATTCATGAGAACAACAAAATTTAAACCCCCATGAAAATTAGTGATTTCACAGTTTAGGAACCGTGTGTAGATCATATCTCATTACACGATGAAAAACCAATTTTTTAATAATTTATGCAAGTAGCTTACGCCAAGATACAAGATTCTGTGTATCAAATTTGTTTGAAGTGTTGTTATGGTTAAAAATAGAATAATCTGTAAAATTCTTTCAAAATGCTATCCCATCTATAGTTTGGGTTCAATTTCATTAAAACATGATGCACAAGTAAGATTAAACCAAGGTTCAAAACTTTGTATATCAGTTCATGAATACCATGGTGTTGCTGTAAAAAATGCAAGTTAAGAATGTAAAATCTCCCCCCCCCCAGAAAAAAGGAACGAGTTTTAAGTGTAACTTTTAGATAATCTTGAATTCAATTCAGTAGAGCTACAGTCTCAATAGAGACTTCTGGTTGTATTAGTCTATCAGTTTATTAGATTATTTGAGTATTTATTTTATTCTCAGTTACATCTTACATGTGAACGATTTCATCATATGTGAAGCATGTCACTTATTATTAGTCAGTTATCAGTCCCCTACCAGTGAAACCAGAGTGGACTACAAGTTTTCTCCTCATTTCTCCATCCCTCTGTCTGTCTGTCAGTCTGTCTCACTTGGTTGTCTGCATTTTTTATGTACATGTTTACAGATAATGAGCTTCTTTTTGGAATGTGTATGTACCTTGATGAGTTGCAGATCAAGTTTACATTTCGTTCCGCTTGGGTGATTTTTGACAGAATTATGGCCTTTAAATTTCTAAAGGGACCAGATTTCCAACTTGGTTTTCCACACTTTTTTATTAAACACTTGCAAATATTGAGCTGCTTTATGGTATGTGAGTCTACCTTGATGAGTTACAGATCAAGTTTCTCTTTTGTTCTGCTTGGATGATTTTGGACAGAATTATGGCCTTTTTAATTTATAAGGGGGACCAGATTTCCCACTTGGTTTTCCACACTTTTTTCTAAACACTTGCAAATATTGAGCTGCTTTATTGTATGTGAGTCTACTTGGTGAGTTACAGGTCAAGTTTCCATTCTGTTCCGCTTGGGTGATTTTTGACAGAATTTAGGGGGTTTTTTAATGATAAGGGGGACCAGATTTCCCACTTGGTTTTCCACACTTGTTTACTAAACACTTGCAAATATTGAGCTGCTTTATGGTATGTGAGTCTACCTTGATGAGTTATACATGAAGTTTGCATTTTGTTCCACTTTGATAAATTTTGACCGAATTATGGCCTTTTTAAATTTTTAGAGGAATCAGATTACACTTGTCAGTAGGGGACTAGTATTGCTTTTGCAATATTCTCGGAATGCTTGTTCTAAAGGCCAAAGTTTTCAATCTTATCAGTAAATCTGTACTTGCTTTTTGAGTAGGTGAGCCTCTGATGGACTGTTGTCCCATCCAAGTCTGAGTCTGTTACTTACTTTAACTAAGAGCCATGAAAACTTTGTTCAAGCATCAGCCTTCTTAGCTAGTAGGAATTGACTAAACTGCACCCAAGTACAACTCATTAATATTTATTTTCATAATACCATTACTTAAACATACTTTTTCCTCAAGTCATAATTCCATGGGTGAAATTTTTTGTGGAATTCTTGGATTGTCATTTTATGTCTCAAATGCACTTTCAATGTGCTGTGACAAATTTCTGCAGAAAATTTGTTACTGCGTGGTTTAGTGTACTAAATTAATTACATCCCCCCTCCTCCCCCCCCCCCCCACCACCACCAAAAAAATGTTAGTATACATCTAAAAAAGTGAATGAGGTTTAGACTTTGCTTTATTACAACATGAGACTGGTAGCTCATGAATTCAAGCCAGTGGTGACAGCTTATAACTTCTTAATTAAAAAAAGCAGGAAATTTTGTAATGCAATTGTTTATATACTAGGCAACATTAGATCACATAGATAAAAACAGTATCTGTAGGTAAACATCATAGAGATGATTCCACAAATGGTTGGAATTGATTGCTCTGAAAATATGAATAATTTTGCATCATTATCAATGTGTACATGTTTGTACCAGCATTTTTTGAATCTTATGAAGTAGAGATTCCAGTTCTTGGTTATATATTAAGTATAAATAAACAAATTGGTTTGTCTGCAATATAATAATATCAAATATCAATGCTTTTCTACCTCACGGTTTTTCCCTCTCCAAATTTTAAGCTATCTAGACTTGCATTTAAGAAATTTCCACACTTCCTTACGAAATTGGGGGTTCATAAAAGAATAGATAATTGGATTAGCAGTATTGTTCAGAAAGTACACAAGGTAGATAACTCTGCTTCCTTTGAATTCTGGGAGAAGGTTATTGGCAATGAGAAAAGTTGGCAAAAAAGACACTATATACACAACTGTAACAGTGAAGAGAACCTGAGTTGTTTTTATGTGCATCTTCCTGGAGGTTTTTATAGCAGGATTTCTGCTTTGAACTTTGTTGGTTAGATTTTTGGAAGCTGAAGGCACAGAATTTGATTTTATGTCCACCTTTTGGTCATCAGGAATAGCAGGCAATATTTTCAGAGTTTGTTTTTTCACCCATTGTTCACCACTTGAAGATTTTTGTCTTATGGAATTTGTTTCAGTAGATTTTGTTAATGGAGCAGTGTTCATAGATACGTTAGAAGGTATGGAATTTGAATTTGTTTCCATGTTATTGTCATGCAAAGTGCTTGAGAATAATTTCACAGTTCCTTTTTTCAATGACTTTTCAACATTTTTAGATCCATATGTAGAAATTTCCTCAGGTAGATCTATGGATGGGGAGATTTCTTCTTCAATATTCTCAATTTGGGTGTCAGGATTACTTCCAGAAGGGAGTTCAATGTTTTCTATATGTGTGCTAGTCTCACATAATTTTAGGGTGCTGTTCTTTGGAATTTTAAGCAGTTTCTCACTTGCTCTTGTTGCAAACATGATGTCGGAAGTGGATGAATTTCTGCGCAATTCTTTGCAGTTTTCTGACTGTTTACATGTAGTTGGCTGTGTCTGCTGAGATCGAATCTTGTTCCATTTTCTGTTCTGAAATAAGACAGTGAAGAAAATGGAAGAGTAGAAGATGATTATGCTGACGATCATGAGGATAAAGATGGAGGTTATTCCAAGCCAGTATTTCGTCAGGGAATCCAAGGAGAGGTACTGATAGTTGGTAATGCAGTACCCTAAATAGAATCCATTCCCAGAGTAAACACCCATTCCCAGTGCAGGGGGTACCCCGAGACATGCACCAAATAGAAAAATCACCAAAATAATCAGGAAGGTCATGTTTTTTGAAACTCGTCTAGGAGCAAAGCAGATCACAACACATCTTTCAAAAGCTATGGCAACTAAAACCATGGCTGAGGTTGGAATAGTGAAAAAGCGAACTGCTTCCCAGAGTTTACACAGGAAGTCACTGGTGAAGGGGAAGTGCCATTCGGTGATGACAATTCCAGGGATGACCACAGCACAGGCGATGAGATCAAGAATGCACAACATGAGCATGAAATAAATGGATGTCTGCTTCATCTTGGTTTTCAGCAGGACGATCAGAACGAGACTGTTTCCCATGAAGCCCACAGTTCCCAGGATTCCAAGCATAATTGATATGCACATCAGAATGGTGTAGTACTCTTGTCGATATCTCAATTCAAAGATGCAGTACAAGGAATAACAGGGGAGTGGATCATAGTATATGTCCACAGATGAGGTGGAGGTATCATTTACAGAAGATGTGTTTGTTGTTGTCAGAGTTGAATTTAGTATGTCCTCTGTTGTGCCTGCATCCTGGGTTGTCATTTTAAGTTATTCTTGGATCTGAGTGAATGAAAATAAATGAAAAATTATCTGGTACATGTAAAAAAAAAATGTTATTGAAGATGTTCTTCACATAGAGGCACTTTGATTACTCCTGAGGTATGATTTTCATTACAGAAGTGTTAAATATTTGACTTTAAAACTTTTTTCTTAAATGTGATTTAGAAAACATAACCTTTTAGAATTTACCAGGAAAAAAAAACAACCCAAAAAGTAATTTTACATACCTTTTCAGTACCAATAAAAAAAATGAAACTATTCCAGTAGATTAACAACAGCTATTTCATCTCTTCATTCACTTTCTATTGAGAAAACTTGATTTTTTTTTCCTTGAAAGTATTGGAATATGGGGTGATGATAAACAAATGAGGAGCATATGGCTCTGGATTGAGCAATAAAATGAATGGGGCGGTCTCAAAGTATGATGAAAGTGAAGGGGAGGGGCTTATAGTCGTATCAATTCCTTAAGTCAGATATGGAAAAAGTGCAGTGATTTTTATAGTTATATTTCATTGATATTAGAAATGGTGCTCTGCGTATGCTCAAGTATTTGCTAACTCTAAAAAATTTTCAGGTTGGTAAGTTTGATTGAATTTTATTAGGTTGACCTAGGTTTAAATTCTTACAATTTTCAGAATTACTACATTATTTCCTCTTTGTAGAAAATATAGATTAGTATCCCAATTACATTTATTTATCTATATCAACATAAATTCAAAACTATTACAATGTATTTACATTCCTAAAAAAAAAAATTTAAAAAGAATTATAATTCAATACTGTTTCTTATTAAAAATGCAAACAATAAAAAGATAACTTACTTTCATAAGGCTTGTATGATTTTGAACATATCTGTATTTTTATTTTTGACCAAGCAAACTTTTATATGGTTCAGAAAATTAGGCCTATACTATTGTTTTATTCTTTCAGATTATTTTTGTTGTATTCATGTTTTTGTATTCATCAATTCATCGGAAAATGAACCTACTCATACCCAGACGTAAAAATTTATTACAATCTTGACCTTAGTAAATGCTACTCTATTTGTAGATTAAGAAACTGTTTATGGCCATCCCATATCAATTTCCCAAACAAATGGCCTTTCCCGAGTGTCATCCAAAACCATCTGTTGTTGTTGAACAAAATAAAGATTAGTGCTGATTTGTTAAAAAGAGACCCCCGATTTCATGCTGTCTTATGGTTAGGATGTTTGTGACTGGAGGATTTAGCATTCATTTACAATTACTCCTAAAATTTACACAGCACTTGTTGCTCACTCAATATCCTGCCTTGTCCACTTCTGGTAGTCAGAGAAAATTACGTCATGATTAGAAAGTGTTCCCTGGTTTGGAGAGTGACCGATAAAAGTTAGTTCTGATTGCTCGTTAATACCTCAGTTCATTAAGTTGAACCTCATAATCCTTTCTGTGGTGACATACATTGTAGTAACAGTGATAATGTGGAAAAAGTTGGGATTTTAGATTATGGTCACCTAATTGTTGACAGTTCTATTTCTGGAGAAATTGTTTACAAATATGAAAGTAAAAATATTGCTTATTATAATTAATGAAGTAAATAATGTATTTGCCCCATTTATGCACCTGTGTGGTTGGAAAATTGACAATTCATTCAAATTTTTGTCACTTTTGCAAAAATATCAGGTCAAGTGAGTTTATCTTAATTGATAGTTCTTAGATATATATAATGTTTATCATATTAATCTTTATTTTGTAATTTGATTGAAAAGAAGGCTCTGTTGAAACTTAACAGCATCTCAGAAAAACTATGAAAATTGATTTTTAATGGGCAAAATATCAACAGCAGGGAAAGATTGTGGGATCATATTTAGAGCCTCCAAAAGTTACACGGAACACATCCTCATTGTTAAGATGACCTTTTTTACCATTTCTAAAAGCCACATACTGAGACATTGTATTTAAAACAAGCAAACAAACAACAAATTAAAAACAAACAAACTAGCAACATCTTGGTAAAGTCCTCAGCAAATTAGATTTTTTTTCAGACTTTGCTCATACAGTTATTTGTTTGTTTGTTTTTTTAATTTAATTATTTTTTTTTCTTTGCTATGTATTTCATTTTTTTTTTTAATTTATGATTTCATTTGTTTTGTTTGTCTACAGGCATTACCACAAGATAACCACAAGGTTAAGACTCTACTAGGAGGAGTATTGTACGCATACGAGCTCCCACCTCATGAGGAAATCAAACCCATGACATTGGAGGAGGAGAAAGGAACTGTCCTCAAAAACTCTGTAGGCCTCAATGATATTCAGCGAGGACTTGCCACAAGTATGTCCCTAAAACATTTCATTTCTTAAAGATGCAGATTGGGCCATCTTTAATATGATGTTTGTTTGCCCCTTCCCGACTCAGGATAAAATAATTGGGTCGGTAGGTAGATGGGGGAAAAAATTTCCCCAGAAATTTTTAACATTAATGCTGAATTTTCAAATTCTGTTAAAATTGAATATATTAATACAATTAAAATATATTTTAATTGTATATAGTTGTTGACAGGATTAGAAAATTCTGGAATTAAAAATAAAAGAAATTGTTTCCTGGAGGTTTAAAAAGTTTTGAGTCAGGCCATTTTTAGCCAGTCGGATTGGAGAGGGCAAACAAACAATTTTTTATTAAGTATGAACAGGAAATATACAAATGTTAATGTATGCACTAAAAAACATGATGTTTCAAGGTTTGAAATTTTGATAATACTGTCTTATTTTTCCCTGTCTTACAGAGAAGATTCAACAGAAATTAGAAAATGGTCCCTCCTCGATGTCCAACTCTTTAACAGTAGAGGATAACTCTGCTAACAACACCCCCACACATTCCCGCCAACCCAGTGATGTCCCTACAATGGGGAGTCTCCAGCCCACCCCAGAAAACCCTGCCCCCAAAGCCACCGCTGAACTCTTCTCAGGCTTTGTAATAGGAGTTCATAGAAAAATGGTAAAAACCAAATGACAAACTGTAGCTATAGTCTTGTTCAGATATATTTTGAATGATTTCCATAAGTTTGCAGAAGAGTTTGTTAGTTGAAAGAATTTATAGTGAAGAAATCTCTTTTCTATTTGTGAATTGATCCTTCAAAGGGAGAGTGCATGAAGGCTGAAAAAATTTTGATTTCTTTTCATCACCTCTACATAAACCATACTGATAAGGGATAAGCAGATTTTGCAATTCAAATGAAACAGCAAAGTGCTGCAAAATTAGAAGTTTAATTACATGTGTATTTTAAAATTTTTTGAGATATATTGTACATCTCTGACCTTAAGCAGTCATTCAAAATATTCTATTAAAAAAAATAACAAACAAAACAAATTTAACCAAAAAAACAAACAGATAAAAGAAATGCAAAAATTGGAAATCTTTTAACATTTTCAGAACTTGATGGATGTATACTTCTTGTCCTCACAAAAGGCCCGACCTGGACTGTTTGGGACCCCCATTATCCTCCCCTGTGTGGAGGATACCACTAATCAGGATCTCTATCAGTTTGTGTGGACACAGGTGTCCAGGCTGGTCAGTCCCCTCCCTCCTTCCGAGATCAAGTCAGCCAACCACGCCCAGGACTGGTAAAAAAACAATATCTGGTCACTCCTTCTTTTGTACTTCCTTTATACCAGCTTCAAAAATCTTTTCCTTCAGTTTTAGATCATATATTTTACTGATATTAGAAATTTAGGTGGATTTCACTTGATTTGTACCGTATATACTCGCCTATAAGTCGGTCCGCCTATAAGTCGGTTGTGATTTTTGAGGTTATTTTGGAGGGATTTGCCATTGACCCGCCTATTAGTCGGTACAACTTTTTGCCAGGATTGGTGGACAATTTCAGATCAATGCTCTAATGTTTTAACATGTGTTTCAAATAATATTTTGAGAAATTACGCCGATATTTTATCTCTCTTTTTTTCTTCTCTTATAAATTTCATATCAATACTCTAATGTATTTACCTGTGTTCAAATAATATGTTAGGATATGACATCGGTAATTAATATTTTTATTTTTCAACAAACCAAACCACTACCATTTTATTTCTTTCTATACTGTTTTGTTTACGCGTTAATTGTATATTTTATACATCGATCTCGATCATTGGCGGATCTCTGTTTCTTTGGCATGGTGATGAACTATGTAACGAGTCTACCAACATTTTGATGATATTTAATTAGGAGGTGTTCAATGTCCAAGCCATATCTATAGTTTTTAATAATGCTATGTTTGTTCTTTTATTAGCAATTATCGTCTCTTAATTACCTGTATCTCTTACCTGACACCATATTTATTTAGTGGCACGCGCCCCGAGAAAATTGTGTACCACACATTTGAAGCATTTTCATAAACAATCGAGTTTTAATAGACTCCAGAATAATATTCTGAATTATTTTTTAAGAATATCATATCTGTTGTCAAAAACATCGCAGACGGTATATATAATTATACATTAATGCTAAATGTATTATATCGGGTTCGCAATTCCATGTTACCGATAAACGATAGATTTACATTGAGTCACAAGTTAATTAAAGAAATATTTTTGTTAATAATTAATCAAATAAATAATATACACTTAAGATCAAAATAAAATCATTAAAACATGTAAATACTTTAAATTTACTTTATATATAATCTTAGAATACATAAATAATATAATACGTCCAGACATTTCTCAACTATAATCGTCGAAGTTATGTAAAAAGTACCACATTTCGTCGTCCAGAAAAATACCAAGCTTTTCATTACTCGCCTATAAGTCGGACATAGAGTTTTGGACCAAAAGTTAACTCCCAAAAAACCGACTTATAGGCAAGTATATACGGTATATGTATTTACCCGGTATTAAAGATGCACACACTGAAAGTGTTTTTTTTTCTTTAGTTTATTTTCAAACAGTAAACCAGGAATCTTCAGTCACTATTCTAGTCAAAATCAACCAGGAAATAAACTTGCATAATTACAATTATGTATCATTATAAAGATCGGAAAGTGATTTATGGGGATGCTTCCAAATAAAATAGTGGGGGAACAATTGACATAAAATTCTATTATGATTATTTTTTTGTGTCTGAATAATGTTGTGTTTTGGTAAATACCTGTATTTGTATCTTTCCTGCAGTGATGACAGTTTGGGATATGAGTATCCCTTCACGCTCAAAGTTGTCATGAAGGATGGATTGTCCTGTGCCTGGTGTCCGTGGTATAGGTAAAATACATTCTCTTGTTAGGTGTAATCTATAATGTGATCTATTACTAGTAATGTCTAGGAATTGTGATGTCCTGACATAAATTATATTATATTGTACATGTATAGCACATGTTTGTGCCAAAATAGCATTAATGAGCAAATTGAACAATTATTATAATAAAATAATACTAATAACAATAAGAAACAATAATAACATCTGTAGTTATTTTAGCTTCATTCCAATACAATGTAATAAGTTCTCGTATATGAAATTTTTAATGGAACCATAACTTTTTTTTTACTTTTTCTGTATTGAAATTGATATCTGTGTATATCAGATCTATATGTATCACTGAAGAGTGTTTTTCGTTGGATTTAGGTTTTGTAGGGGGTGTAAGTTGGAGTGCAATGCTGATGACTTTAACTTTGGAAGTTCATTTTTGGCTATAGACTGGGAACCCACAGCGTTACATTTACGATACCAGACAGCTTTAGAAAGGGTACACTTAAAGTTTCATTTTTTTCTGATTATGTGCTGTTTATTGAAATTATTTTTTTAATGAATCTCTGTTACATAATTGTGTAGAGCTTATACAATGTTAAAGGAAATTCTCTTTTTTTCTTATTTGTCTTATATTGCTGATTTACATGAGGGCAAGAATCAAGGCCTTCACCTTTTTTCCCTGACTGTAAAAAGAAATTCCTTTCATACATCTTTATTGTGTGGATTTGTTTTGGCTAAACAAGAACCGTATTCTGATAGTGCTTTTGGTTATTTTTCTGTTTACAGTTATTTAGTACTTATGTTATTTTTTTCTGTCTACAGTTATTTAGTACTTCAGTTATTTTTTTCTATTTGCAGTTATTTAGTACTTCAGTTATTATTTTTTTTACAGTTATATAGTACTTATTTTATTGATATATAGTACATATGTACTTTATAACAATAAGATTAGTACTATATAACTGTAAAAAAAAATAATAACTGAATAATTAGTATGAATTAGTACATATGTACTTATGTTTTTTTTCTCTTTACAGTTATATACATGTAGTAATGTTATTTTTCTGTTTACAGTTATATGAAGATCATGAGAGTGTGGAGGAGAGCAGGAGGAAACAGACGGAGCCCATTAACCTGGACACCTGTCTACAGGCCTTCACTACTGAGGAGGAACTGGGTGAAGACGAGCTCTACTACTGCTCCAAGTGTAAAAAGCACTGTCTGGCCTCCAAAAAACTGGACATCTGGAGGCTGCCACCTATACTGGTAAATATATAATGGTTCAAGGGCTAAGTAAATGCTGGGGACTTTTTTACATGTAATTTAGCAAAATAATTCCAATGTCTTTTGTGTGCTATTATTTTGAGTAAAAATTGCTGCTGCTGCTATTATTGTGGGAGAAAGGCTATCTTGGTCATATTCTGGACCCTTGTGCCAAAACAAAAGGATAATGTAAAATGAAAATAAAAATGCCAACCATCTAAGCAAATTTCTTCAACAAAATTAGCCTACTTCTACAAAAGAACTTACAGGTATTAAAAGTTTTGAACAATTTTTTACTAAGGGCCTTCAATTTATCAAGAAAAGCCTTTAAAAATTTGTGCAATATATCATAATCATTTTATATTATATAATTTTTTTTTCAGATTATAAACCTAAAAAGATTCCAGTTTTTAAATGGCCGATGGGTGAAGTCACACAAAATAGTGAACTTTCCTGTAGAGAAATTTGACCCCTCAAATTACGTAGCTCCTCGAGCACCATTGAGTGTTAGTGAACAATCAGTGACTTGTGTGTGTCAGAGTAATAATTCTGCTGAAGTAGAACATGTGCCAAATGGAGACATTCCAAACCATAATGACTTACAGATGGACATAGATAAAGGTAATTACTTTTTTCTGCCAGATAAAAGCTGATTTGAGAAATTGTGTTGACACCATGTCGTGAAATGTTCTTCACAACAACAACTACATTTACTTCTGTATATACATGTACATATTGATAACTGAATGGAAATTATGCAAGTGTCAAAAATGGTTCAATGGCACATTCTTTGAATCATTTCAGATGAAAAAGAATCCAAAGCCTCACCATGTAAGAAATGTCAGCTCATTCAAAACATTCCAACTGCTGATGATCCCATCAAGTATGACCTATCCTCTATGTCAGTAAGTAATTACTCCTCAATGTTAGTAAGTAATTATTCCTCTATGTCAGTAAGTAGTTATCCTCTATGTCAGTAAAGAGTTATCCTCTATGTCAGTAAGTAATTATTCCTCTATGTCAACAAGTAATTATCTTCTTTGTCATTAATTATCCTCTTTGTCTGTAAGTAATTATTCCTCTTTATCAGCAAGTAATTATCCTCTATGCCGGCAAGTAATTATCCTCTATGCCAGTAAGTAATTATCCTCCGTGTCAGTAAATAATTTTCCACTTTGTTAGTAAGTAATTATCGTCTTTGTCAATAAGTAATTATCATCTATGCCAGTAAGTGGTGTCTAGTGTAATTTTAAAGTTTTTAATGTCAGTAGGTAGCAGAAGATGGGTTGGAAATAGGAGTTTTGTTTAGTAGAATATAAGCATACACATAAGTTTGATGTCTAAAGTTAAAATGGATATAAGCTTACAGTTCAGATAAGCCTATAGATCAGTAGGTTTACATATCAGTAGGATTCAAACATACGTACAGTAGTTAAGTTGAAAATGTGTACAATTTAGTAGAATGTAATTATACCCCACGCAACAAGTTGCGTGAGGTATAATGTTTTTGACCCGTCCGTCAGTCAGTCAGTGTGTCAGTCAGTCAGTCAGTGTGTCAGTCAGTCAGTCCGTCAGTCCTGTTTTTTTGTCAGCGCAACTCCTCATAAACCGCTGCACAGAATTTCGTCAAACTTTGCAGATATTTAGGACACAATGTGTAGATGTGCATATTACCAGGAAATTCCGATTCCTTTATTTTTTCTCGGAATTTCGGCACTTTTCAACTTAGATTTTTGGCCATATCTTGAATATGGAGATGAACAGTTTGTCAGCGCAACTCCTCATAAACCAATGCACAGAATTTGGTCAAACTTTGCAGATATTTAGCACACAATGTATAGATGTGCATATTACCAGGAAATTCCGATTCCTTTATATTTTCTTGGAATTTCGGCACTTTTCAACTTAGATTTTTGGCCATATCTTGAATATAGAGATGAACAGTTTGTCAGCGCAACTCCTCTTAAACCGCTGCACAGAATTTGGTCAAACTTTGCAGATATTTAGGACACAATGTGTAGATGTGCATATTACCAGGAAATTCCGATTCCATTATTTTTCTGGGAATTTCAGCACTTTTCAACTTAGATTTTTGGCCATATCTTGAATATAGAGATGAACAGTTTGTCAGCGCAACTCCTCTTAAACCGCTGCACAGAATTTGGTCAAACTTTGCAGATATTTAGTACACAGTGTGTAGATGTGCATATTACCAGGAAATTCCGATTCCATTATTTTTGCCTTAAGAGTTTTGCCTTTTATTGAAGAAACTTTCCAGCTAGGTAATAAGAAACTCCACTGGAATCAGCTTTTTATAATGAAATTCTATGTGAAATATTTTATGACCTTAAAAGACCCCTATTGATTTTGAGATCAAAATATTAATGGTTTAACACAAACACACACTCACACACACACCATCTTCGATAGTTCTCTCTCTCTCCCCCCCCCCCCCCCTTCAAATTGGTGTGCTTTGCCTTAAATAATTTCATAAGTACAGTATATAAACAGATTCATATGACTACATCATAATTTTGTTTCCATCAATTATTTAAATGTGTAAACTGTCATGTGTTGGACATGGACTTACACTCATTAACAAATCGAAATCACTGAGGAATTTAAATAACAGTTTGTCAGCATAATTCCGGCACTGAATTTCCTGAAACTTTGTAGGTATTTCAGAATAATGTATAGATTTGTATATTACCAAGAAATTTTGATTCCATTATTTATCTAGAAACTTCAGCCCAGTTAAATTTGTAACATACAAAGATTTGAATGTCCTTATATGCAAGAAGTTTTGATGTGATGATTTTTTGCAAGTAATGCCCCTTTTTTGAATTATACTGTGTATTTAAAATGCACTGTGCCATTCATTACGTGTTGCATTGTCGAGTTTTGGGGAAGCGTGGGGTATGTGAGCTTGCTCACTTTTTCTTTCATTCATAAGTTCAGAAGGACATGAAACTGTATACCAGCATTCAGTAGGATATAAGCTTACGGTACATTTTATTGAGATATAGGACTACAGGAGTATATAAATAGTTAGATAAAGCCTATAGCTCCATAGTCTATAATCCTAAAGTTAAGTGGAATATAAGCCTATACTTTGGTAGGATATAAGCTTACAACTGCATTGGATATAGGTGCACAGCTAAGAAAGATATACACGTATGCCTGTAGTTCACGAGGAAAAAGGTCTATAGAGTGAGAAGATACTTGTATAAGTATACACAAACACTCATTACATGCAAGTTTAAGATGTGTTTTCTCTTCTACACTCTGTAATATATTTGGTATCTTATTGTGCACTTTTCAAGACTTAATTACTTCATTACTCCAATCGGAGGTATGGACTGACATAATCACTTGTAATTGTACCTATTCTATTACAGTGTCATACAGGAATTTTGGGAGGAGGTCATTATGTCTGCTATGCTAAAAATCCAAACCAGAAATGGTACTGCTACAATGACAGTAGCTGTAAGGTGAGTGATTGTTGACATGTTTCAAAGTTCCATCATTCTAATGATTGATTCACTCACTGGTATAACTAGAATATGCTGTGTTTTGTAATTTTTGTCTCGGATGGGGTGGGGTGGGGGTGGGGTCACTCACTGGATAATTAGAATATACTGTGTTTTGTAACTTTTGCCGGGGGAGGGGGGGGTCTTCATTGGTATTACTATAGTATACTTTGTTTTGTAACTTTTTTCCAATGGGGGTATGTTTTTCATCTTTTTTTTACCCTATCCTTCAAAGGGCTTATGAAGAATTGGGCTTATCATTAATCCCATTTTTAGCTCACCTCGACGAAGTCGAGATGAGCTTATGCTATACCCCCGGCGTCGGCGTCGGTGTCGGCGTCGGCGTCGGCGTTAGCGTCGGCGTCCCAGGTTAAAGTTTTAGGAGCAAGTCCCATTCCCAAGTAACTATAAGCCCTACCTGGACCAAACTTGCATGGATGATGCATCTAGGGATGGACACTACCAAACTTGCTTCGGATGCTGGATCTGACCTAGATTTTCCAGATGAGTGACCAGGTTAAAGTTGTAGGAGCAGGTCCATTCCTTAGTAACTATAAGCCCTACCTGGATCAAACTTGCATTGATGATGCATCTAGGGATGGACACTACCACACTTGCTTCGGATGCTGGATCTGACCTAGATTTTCCGGATGAGTGACCAGGTTAAAGTTTTAGGAGCAGGTTCATTCCCAAGTAACTATAAGCCCTACCTTGACCAAACTTGCATGGATGATGCATCTAGGGATGCACACTACCACACTTGCTTCGGATGCTGGATCTGACCTAGATTTTCCAGATGAGTGACCAGGTTAAAGTTTTAGGAGCAGGTCCATTCCCAAGTAACTATAAGCCCTACCTTGACCAAACTTGCATGGATGATGCATCTAGGGATGGACATGGCCAAACTTACTTCGGATGCTGGATCTGACCTAGATTTTCCGGATGAGTGACCAGTTAAAGTTTTAGGAGCAGGTTCATTCCCAAGTAACTATAAGCCCTACCTTGACCAAACTTGCATGGATGATGCATCTAGGGATGGACACTACTAAACTTGCTTCGGATGCTGGATCTGACCTAGATTTTCCAGATGAGTGACCAGGTTAAAGTTTTAGGAGCAGGTCCATTCCCAAGTAACTATAAGCCCTACCTTGACCAAACTTGCATGGATGATGCATCTAGGGATGCACACTACCACACTTGCTTCGGATGCTGGATCTGACCTAGATTTTCCAGATGAGTGACCAGGTTAAAGTTTTAGGAGCAGGTCCATTCCCAAGTAACTATAAGCCCTACCTTGACCAAACTTGCATGGATGATGCATCTAGGGATGGACATGGCCAAACTTACTTCGGATGCTGGATCTGACCTAGATTTTCCGGATGAGTGACCAGGTGAAAGTTTTAGAAGCAGGTCGATTCCCAAGTATCTATAAGCCCTACCTTGACCAAACTTGCATGGATGATGCATCTAGGGATGGACACTACCAAACTTGCTTCGGATGCTGGATCTGACCTAGATTTTCCAGATGAGTGACCAGGTTAAAGTTTTAGGAGCAGGTCCATTCCCAAGTAACTATAAGCCCTACCTTGACCAAACTTGCATGGATGATGCATCTAGGGATGGACATGGCCAAACTTACTTCGGATGCTGGATCTGACCTAGATTTTCCGGATGAGTGACCAGGTGAAAGTTTTAGAAGCAGGTCGATTCCCAAGTATCTATAAGCCCTACCTTGACCAAACTTGCATGGATGATGCATCTAGGGATGGACACTACCAAACTTGCTTCGGATGCTGGATCTGACCTAGATTTTCCAGATGAGTGACCAGGTTAAAGTTTTAGGAGCAGGTCCATTCCCAAGTAACTATAAGCCCTACCTTGACCAAACTTGCATGGATGATGCATCTAGGGATGGACATGGCCACACTTACTTCGGATGCTGGATCTGACCTAAATTTTCCAGATGAGTGACCAGGTTAAAGTTTTAGGAGCAGGTCCATTCCCAAGTAACTATAAGCCCTACCTTGACCAAACTTGCATGGATGATGCATCTAGGGATGGACACTACCAAACTTGCTTCGGATGCTGGATCTGACCTAGATTTTCCAGATGAGTGACCAGGTTAAAGTTTTAGGAGCAGGTCCATTCCCAAGTTACTATAAACCCTACCCGGACCAAACTTGCATGGATGATGCATCCAGGGATGGACACTACCACACTTGTTCAGATGCTGGATCTGATCTAGATTTTCCACATGTGAGACCAGGTTTAGATTTAGGAGTAGTCTCATTCCCAAGTAACTATAAGCCCTACCTGGACCAAACTTTCATGGATGATGCATCTAGGGATGTACACTAACCAACCTGCTTCGAATGCTGGATCTGACCTAGATTTTCCACATGAGTGAATTTTAGCCATATTTTAACCAAATTAGCATGGATGATGTATCTAGGGATGGACACTTCCAGACTTGCCTTGGATTCTGAATCTGATGTACATTTTCCAGAAGAGTGACCAGGGTAATTTTTTTGGAGTAGCTATATAATATTATGGCCTGTTATGATTAAACTTGCATAGATGGTGCATCTAAGGATGAAAACTTCCAGACTTGCTTTGGATGTTGGAACTGACCAAAATTTTCTTGATTACTAAACAGGTCAAAAGTTTTTTGAGCAGGTCTATAATTAAATCAAACTTGCATGGATATTGATCTTGGGATGTACCCTAACTAGAAAAAAAATATGATGTGAAATTTGCCTTACATGTAGATAACATTCGTCGAGGTGAGCTTCGTAATCTTTGATTACCTATGTTTAAACTTGTACAATGTATTAAAGTAGCAAAATGGCTTTAGTTTTAGTGCTTTTTATATGTTGATTAGTATAATTGTATACCATTGGTATCTAAAATCTTTTCTCTGTGGCTTCGGCAAGTTATGTAATAGTGGTTCACATCATCAATTAACTAGTTTTTCAGAATCATTTTGATTAAGAAAGCCAAATAAAAAAAAAAAATTAAAAAAAAAAAAAACTATCCCCAAGAAGTTTTGATTTACAAATGAGCTTAATTTTACGTGTGGGTGATTTCAGGAGTGTACAGTAGAGCAGATGGATTGTAATTCAGCATACATCTTATTCTATGAAAGAGAAAATATAGACTTCAGTCATTTCATGCCAGATGTGGACGGTAAAGAGCCCGACCTACAAGAAATTGACGATGAGTTCGAGTCTGACCTAAAAAAGGCATGTGTAATTCAGTGATCCTAGGTCAAGGGCAATTAAGTTAAAGTGTGTGACAAGTCCTTTTTTTTTTTTGGTGATTTCTCTGTCTACTATGTGTAAAGGAACAGCAGGATTGAAAGTAAAAGATTTCACAGTGTCTCTTTGCTACAGTGCTACAGAATATTTTCTATAAATGATTGTTGTTTTTATTTTTTTTTTAATTTTTAAAAAAATTTCCCCCCAATCCTTGTACAACTCCTTGCTGATATTGTTTATTTTTTATTTTCAAACCAGTGATACATGTATTATCTACAAAAGATGTAGATGGTGTTTACCATCGTTCCATGATTTCTTTCCTTTTTTTTAAGTGGATTCAATTTGTTTATCTTTGTCTGTTTTGTTATTATGTAAGAATAAGAACTTAGCGCATAAAATTTCAGAGGACAAAAGAAATGAAAAGTTAATTTTTTGTTCATGAACATGTTTTACACTCAAAATTTACAGCATTTTTATTCATTCACACTGCAGAATGATTTCTTGAAATCATCATTTTTCACTAAACACCCCTCCCCTTTCCCTATATTCATTTATTATTTCTTTCATCCCTTTCAAATGTATGGGAACTGACAAATTAGTCAATGACAGCTCTTCTCTCTATCTTAGTAACACTTTTTGACCTTAATTACATCCAAGAGAGAGAGAGAGAGAATACCATATCTCGATACACAGAGTCTATACACAGGTAAAGGCTGAACAATTTTTTTTCAGTCCATGCACATGTTTAATGCCTTAAAATAATCACACATGTTATTTTCCAGGTTCAAGTTAGTCCTTTAGCATTTAATCATTCTTAGATCATATGACTACTCAAGGTGAATATAGTTTAGATTTAGTTACGAACCAGCTTTCCTTTGTATGCAGCCAACCTTAAAGAGTTTTGTGCAGTGTGGACAGTGTTTCTAGAGAGCAAAGATCATTGGGACAGGGAATAGTGAAAATCCATTTCATATTTATTGACGAGTTCATTACAGAAAGTACAAGCTAAAACAACTGTTAGAGGATAAAATGTACTGTAAATCATTTTTTATTCGGAAGAACTTTATTTTCATGTAATTACGCAAGACAGTCTGCTCGTGAAAATTTCATTTCGCATATATTTCTATTAGTATAGATTATATATACAACAATACTTGGAATTAATGAAAACTTTGTCTCTCTTATAAATACTAAATATCTATCTCGGGAAAATAAGGTGTCGCCAAAATTTGGTTATCTACAGTAATAATATTACATATTATATAAAATATCTAAGAGATGATAAGGTTGATTACATTGTTTATTTGATTAAATTGTTTGTGTATTACATTGTATTTGTTAAATGTAAGAGCTTGAAATTGGTGAGAAATTACAAAAAGAAATCTTCTGCCAGGGTTTAAACTATCAAATTCGGGGTGCATTCAAGATAACAGTGACTCTATGTAGAACTATTGAACAATATGCTTACCTAACAGACACAGGTATGTAGGTTAGGGTTGATGCTGGATACCAAATTAAATCAAAGATGGCCAGCTCAGTTTACCTCTTTGCCTCAAATGATATGCTTACTTGAACTGATGGTGGTGTTTTTTTTTTTTCATTTAAGGGAATTAAATGTTTATTTACCTACCACTCAATTCTGAGGTTAGTTCAAAAGAGGTATATCTAGCAGATAGGTTATAGCTGCTACTGTCTTGAACTCAGCTCTGATAATGTCCCAAAGGTCAAAAGACCCAGTTTTGGTGCCAGAAACTTTTCTTTTTTTTAACCCCTTATAGCAAGTTCCTATGCAGTACCAACTATTGTCGCCAGTGAGGCCCAGATTCGGGAATTATTATAAATTTTACTTTTTGAGGAAGGATCTTATAAGAACAAATAAAATAAATGAAAGTTTTTCATGGAGGTGAAAAGCAAATTTGTACATGATGATATTCGAATATTCTAGTCATCTTTCATTTAAACATGACATTGTATTACTGTAGCTTCATCAGTTTGGAGAAGTTATGACTATTTTTTAGAAGAACATCAGTTTAGTCATTATTAATTCAATGTGTTTTCCATGTCAGTTAAGTGTGTTGTTAGAATGGTGGTACTTAGATTTTTTTTTTATCAGAATGTGATAATACAATAGTCAGAGTAGATCATTAAAAATTTTTGTTGAAATATCACAGATTTTTAAGATAATGTAAATTAAAATGAAAAAAAAAATGTTGATTATGGTGATTTTCTTATTGTTAATGTTGAGTAATTCTGTGGTCAGTCAATTCTACCTCATAATCCCTTTGTTGATGTGTCAATCTAGTTGAAAACAAATCTTTTCATAATCATTTATTTAATTTTTTTTTTAAATGATCATTATTATTTCACTAACATTGTACATTCATAGGTACTACAGATACCAAAGTTCAAATTTTTTATAAACCTGCAGGAGTGGTGATGTGTTAATTTATGAAATTTAATTTATTACACTATTATGTATCTTGAGACATGTTGTGAATTTTTTTTTAAAAAGGAAAAGGGCATCAAAGGCAATTCCTACATTTCTTAGCTACTGAGAAAATTTATCATTTTATTTACATGTAATTTAGAAATTTTAAGTTACATAATTATACTGTACATTTAACATTGATAAGAGTGAGGAGAAGATGATATGTTATTTTCTCAAGATGACTGCTGTACATTAAGGTTTGCTTTTTAGAATTTCAGAAGTTTTTCCTTATATACAGTGTTCAGGTATATTGATAACATTGTCAAACCACTGTTGGTCTCAATCTAATTAAAATTAGATGTTTCTGAATCCACTACTGCTTTTCAAACAAGTGGTAGAGGATTCAGAACATCCAATTGCCTTTGCTCTGCAAATTTTGAGACAAAGTGAAAGCAACATGTATGCTATATTGACATAAATGTAAAACAATTAGCGAAACCAAAATGATGGATATACATTCATTAATTCATGCTTCTTCAGATGCTTTTTTGTGACATGACAAATTAACATATGAAATCATAAAGGCTTGATTATCTGTATTTCACTCTGTGCACTTTCAGTCATTTTCTAAATCAAATCACTGTTCTCTTTGAAAACAGCAAGCCATGTTGATCCAGAGATTCAATCCATTTAGTGATAAAATCTTGTGACTTACCAAATGTTTTTGATAGTGTTAATCTTTTTGTTTTTTAAAATTTAAAGGTTACGGACTGTATATATCCATAGGAAAATCCATGAGTACAATGATTTTTGTTAAGTACTGTAATTGTTTGATGAGTTACATGTTGACTGTGATTCTATGTATAACTTGTGATTTGTCTTGTATAGATGATTGCAGTTATCTGTGATATTTAGTCGTTTTTGTTGATGCTTAATATTCCACAATTGTAGGAAGCATCATTGCCATTCCTATATTCAGTAAAACTTTATTTAAAAAAATCAAATAGCTTTTGTTGTTCTTAAAGCATATAAACTTGCTCAGAGATAAACTAATGAGTCTTTTGGTGGGCAGCTTTCGTGATGGACAAAATGTATTATTTGCCAACAATAGAAGTTCCAGTTTGTGCATTGTTTGGCTAAAAAAATGTTTATTGGATTCAGAAAGGTTGAAAATGATTCTGTAAAGATTCAGAAAGATTGACATTAGAGCCTTGCTTTTATGGAGAATAAAGCCTTTAAGGAACCAAAATCTCCTAACGGCAAAAATCTCTTCTGGAATATTCACACATTTTCCTTTGACTCAAAGACACTTTTATGCTATGTATGCATTAAAATACCTTAATAAGTCCCCTATTGATTTTGAGGTTAAAAGGTCAAGGTCAGATATCACATATATTGCATATCCAGGTCACAAGACCATAAACTGAGAACAAACTTAAATAAAAATTTCAAACCAATTAAACTTTTGAAATAATTAAGATAATGAAACAAAATTTACATGATATGTTTGAATTTAAAATAAGATGCAAAACTGGAAGTTTGTAAGCAATTTGTTAAATAAAATTCAAGATATTCAAAATCAAATTTTTGACTTAAGTCATCGTCGCAAATCACAGCCAAAATGTACGATCCTCTCCCATTCTGGCCGTGGTTGAATGAGAAGAGAATATTTCGTAGCTCATTAAAATATTGACCAATGCGAGTAAAGCATAGTTGGAAAATGAACTTTGACGTGACCTTTCAATACCCAATCGCAGTATACGAGCATATCTTGTGTACTGTTGATGTCAGTTGTTGATTTCAATTGCGATGGAAACAAATATTGTCATTGGCTGAACATGACGTCACAACATAGAGGTGTAAATATTCAAGATTACGACATTTTTTGTGATCAAGCAGCCACGTGTAGGAGAGAGCTATATGTGGACTCTGAACCATGGCTTGAGACGATGGACTTAAGTCTGTTCTCAGTTTATGGTCTTGGGGCTAGATCACAGCTTTTAAAAGATCTCTGAGCTTTTGCAGTAAAACCTAAGGTGATGACTTTCTGACTTAAAAAAAGACTCCTATTGATTTCAAGGTCAAAAGGTCAGGTCAGAAATTTATATCATGCATAAAATGCTTGAAAAATTTTGTTCTTTTTGAGCTAATGAAACTTCAGATGATAACTATCTTTATCTTAAAAAAGATTATAGATTTTGAGGTTAAAAGGTTAGAGTTCAAGGTCATAAATTTTTCAATCTGAAAGGCTTTAAAATGTACCCGGAATGCAACATTTCTTATTATCCTTCAGAATTATATAGTCAATCTGATTGGTTTAGAGCATTCACATGCAGGGAGACAATTCGTGATGTCTTTATATTGTTGTAACCTAAATTCTTATGCTTTATTTATTTTGTTTTCTTGATGCTCAACTTGTTAAACACTTGGCGAAATTTCCACTTTTCATATTGGTGCTGGTTCTGACGTTTTCCAAGCATGTCAAATATCAAAATCATGAAAAATCCCTGGAAAACTTCAGATATTTTGGACTACTAGAAAATATACATTGGATCCAGTATCCAAAGCATATCTGGTAGTTTGCATTCCTAGATGTATCTTCCATGCACGTTTGGTCCAGTTGGGGCTTATAATCACTTTGGAACGAGATCTGCTCCAACAAGAGGCCCATGGACCACATGGCTCTCCCGAGCTAGGAAAAAGAACAAATCAGTTCAGTATTGAAAAGTTTACATGAGGTGTGGGGGACTTGAATTTTAAACACCTGAGGATGCATTCATATCAATATAACAAATGGCTTATCTGTTCTTGAGAAGATTTTTTTCTATATATTCCTATCAATGTAAAACTTTGATCCCCCATTGTGGCCACACCATACCCATGGGGGGTCATGTTTTGAACAAACTTGAATCTACACTACCTGAGGATGCTTCCATATCAATATGACTTATCATGGCTTTGCCATTCTTGAGATTTTTTCCCTATATATTCCTATGTAAAACTTTGATCCCCCATTGTGGCCACAACCTACCCCTGGGGAGGTCATAATTTGAACAAACTTGAGTCTACATTACCTGAGGATGCTTCCACATCAAAATGACTAATCATGGCTTTGCTGTTCTTGAAAAGTCCCTATATTTTCCTATGTAAAACATTGATCCCCCATAGTAGCCCAATCCTATTCCAGGGGTCATCATTTGAACAAAATGGAGTCCACACCATGTAAAGAAGGTCTCCTACAAGTTTCAACTTTTTTGGCCCAGTGGTTCTTGAGAAGAATATTTTTAAAAGATGACACCAAATTTTCATGAATTCTGAATTATCTCCCTTGAACGAGGGCATGGCCCTTCATTTGAACAAATTTTATTTCCCTTAACCCAAAGATGTTTCATGGCAAGTTTGGTTGAAATTAGCCAAGTGATTCTGGAGAAGAAGTCGAAAATGTGAAAAGTGTACAGACCGATTACAGACAAAATGTGATCAGAAAAGCTCACATGAGCTTTCAGCTCAGGTGCTTCAAAAACTTCAACTTGTTCCAAGAACAATATGGTCATTCTTTGGCTGAAGATGCAGCATCTGAAACCCGACCGGTACAATGAAACATACTTGATGCATCATTGATGCATCTCTGATCAGTATCATAGGGCATAAAAGTATGTGGAAAGCCTCTTTTACCTAGAACATCTACATGAGCTCTCCCGCCTTTGTTGAGGAGAACTGAAAAGAATGATCTTTTACTGATTATGATATGATTATGCTCTAAACTTCATCCATATAAATACTTCCCAAAGCATAAACTTTTACCGGTCAACAATTAACTGATTTTTTATTTAATCACAAAAAAAAAGCAGTAACTTGTAAATGTTTTTCTTTTCGTATTTTATTCATCTCAAACAAATATTGATGAAGTTACAGATAATTTTAACAACAATTCACTTAACAACAAGTTTATACTCCAGTATAAATTTTCTGTCGTGTCAAATCCTGGACACAAATACAATGTAGATGCTGTAGTTGGGAACAGATTTAATTAAACAGCTGATTAGATTTGAAATCTTAAACCTGTAAAATGAAATATCCATAAAATACTGTATATATATCTCTCTGTTTGCTGCACTGTATCACAACCCAAAACCATTCAGACCATATTATTTCCAATACTTGCAAGGATTAAAATCAGATCAATATTTATTTCTGGACAAAATACAGTTATTTTGCATATACAGTATCATCTTCGCTAGCCAAGGGTTTCTGATACGCTACTCTCCTCATAAACCCTTGGCATACGGTGTTAAAAAAAGTTGGGATTTTTTTCTCAAGTTGTGATTGGAGTTGATCGACATCGTTTGACCAATCAGCAATTGTTTTTTGTAAATGACGATATTTGCATTCGGGATATATCTTGACTCTTTATTATCGGGAATGAAAAATGCAAGTAAACAACGATCCGGAAGATAACATGTCATTCTATGAATAGTTATATGGTGTCATTCAATATCTTAATCTACGTGCAAAATATGTGATTAAGAATCTATACTGAAGGTGTAGATTTGCATTTTAACATGTTTAAATAACAAATTAACATAATTCATTGCCTTCTTGTTAATTATTCTTTAAAAACATTATTTTTTAAAATAAGCTTTTTATTTCTGTCGATGACGCAATCTGTGCGTACCTGGTAAGAATCGAGATCACGTGACGAAAACAATCCCGTCTTTTGTCAGCACCATATGCCAAGGGCTTATGAGGAGAGTAGCGTATCAGAAACCATTGGCTAGCGAAGATGATACAGTATTAATATTACAGTTCTCAGCCAATTTTCTTAAATACAGATTTTGCCGATAAATTACATGCAGGGGACATTTTTTAAATTCAGAATTTGCTATAAAATAACAAAGAAAATTCTTCCTTCATAGTTATACTGGAGTCGATCTGTAGACTTATTAAACATTTCAAAAAATTACCACATTTTCCACTTTTTGCAAAAAAAGTGTCCATGTCAAATGGCTGTCAATGTCCATGTTTACACAAAATGGCTACCGGAAACGAAAATCGAGTGCAAAACTATGAGAAATGAAAGCAGATTTTTTCCCCCCAGATTGGTCTCTGCATTACCAAATTTTTTATTGGAAAGCAGCTACCTCAAAACAGATGAGCACAGGCCTGAGAACCAAAATTTCAATTTTATGTAACCTTAAGTATATTTGCATATAAATTATACATCTATACATGTACATACAAAAAAAGTGTCTGCATACAAGTTATTGTGCTTCTTAAATTCAACTTTGAACCAGAACCATGTTTCTTAATAAAAAAAAAAACAAACAAAATAAAAATAGAACCTGGATTAGTCTACAGACTTGTGAATGACAAGTACAAATTATCTGGGAGTAACATTATGCATGAGAGTAAGCAATGGTGGTACAAAATTTACACAGGCATGTTGAAGAAAAACATCAACTTACTGTATACATTTTTTCCCCCTACATGGTACATATTTATGAGAATTTTGTACAATTCTGAAAAGGTAAATCCATGTTAAACATGTACCCCTAAGTACATCTACAGTATTTTCAGATTGACTGGCAGTAAATGCACACAAAATAATTATAACACAGATATACATGTACAGGTAACATTTCATGTCTTCCGCACAAAATGTATTTATTCTCTTTACAATTAAAACCTGTCTATTGATAGTTGTTAGACACCTTTTGAATAATTAAGTGTTTTACTCCACCTTAACAAGTATACTGCATGCATTGTTCCCCAAATCAGAGAATCAAACAGGACCAAATCTCTACACAAAAATTGAATAGAGAAATCATACATCTCTGTTAATCACCTAAACACAGCATCCTTAACTCTGTGCATCTTTTGGCTCCTTAGAATCACTGGGCTTGTCTTTGGATTCTTCCTCTTTAGTTGTTTTACTATCTGATTTATCTGCTCCTTTAACAGTTAAGTCCTCCAGCTTCTCTGTCAATGAGCTTGTCTCT